GAGGGCTTCGGATCAACCAAAACAGCACCCAATGACCTCTCAAAACGTCGTTAAGTTGATAAAGCTAACCGATTTAGTCGCACTCTGCGACAATGGAATTGTTGCGTAAGCGGTCAAAGGGACGTGGGCCTTCACAGTCCTGTCAGCTGTACCCCGACGAAATGTGGTGGTGTCTTCGCCCTCTGGAACTAAGTATGTGACTCGGTAAGGGAAATCTGTGTTCCTGCCACGAAACAACGGGATCTCATAAGTCAGCTTGATAGGAACATTTAAGGGTGTGGAACTTGCTAACTCAGGGAGGAGTGGCGCATCTCAAACAGCAGTGAGGCCGTCACATCAGCCGATGAGTGAAGTTCCGCTGCAAAGACAATATGGGTTCATAATGGCTTCAGCCCTTTGGAGCACTTTCAGGTCTATAGTTTGTCGTGATTAAGACGGACAAGCCAGAATTCGAGAAATGATTGTCGGGAGTGAAACTATCGGAGTCGACCCAGCTGGGCCATCTATGAGCGATGCAAGCATAAGAACAGTGAACAGTCTTACGTGGGACATATGAAACTGGCTGCTATGCATGGGGATTCCATTTGCTTGGATGAGTACGTCCTTTGTGGAGTGGCAGTTCAATGATTTAGACCTCCATTCCCTGTGTCGAGTCTCTTGTCCTCCTGAGGATCAGGCTCGTGGCGTCTCGTATTTGGAAGAAGCTTGGATCGCCTTGTTATCATTCATCAACAAACTTCGCCTCAGCTCTCACCGCTTACTGAGACCGTACTTGCATCCGAGCTCGTGCTGGACTGACTCCACGTCTGTTCGGAGTCTCGACCTAGGGCCACAACGTGGCATTCGGACTTGTCGGTTAGCAATTTACGACATGAAGAGGCGACTTCGGTTGACTTTACTTCATAATTCTCGCTTTAAGACACCCTACTAACGCCATGCGCCATTGAGCTCGCTAGGAGCACTATCAAGGTCAATATCAACTTGATGTTGGTGTTGACAGGGTCGCAAGATCGCCACGGTGGCAAACCACCTGAGACGTTAACTGTCTCACCATCTGCGCCACTTACCTCAACACCATTGATCTCGTCGATCTGCGATAGCATGACGACGGAATACGAGTTTTCAGGAAAGGACTTCGGATCACAGGCCAAAGTGTATATAAACAGGCAGAGTCTCTCTGAATAGGCAGAGAGACGAGACACAATCAATCAGATAGAACCACTCCTGTTCTGTGTACAACAGTTGGCGATAGGGCCTCCAGAAGCCAACAGCCTCATGGGGAAAAGGCAAGATTCTGCAACATTATATTAAAGTGAGCCATTACGCGAGTATGCCCCGCTGGGTGAATTACAGCTAACAGGCAGATTTGATTGACCTCTATCGTCGATGCTTCGGTCCACATGCTTTCCAAGATGTTCAAAGCGTTAACAGCAGACGTGGAGGGGTCGGCTGTAGACCTCTGGCCATGACATTCTGGTGCATAATACAAATCCAATCGTTCATTTACTCGGCTCCGGGCCTCCGGCAGTTACCTACCGAGAGAGGACATGAAGTAATCTAAAGAGTTTAGCACTGGGTGTTGACGGTACTCGCGACAGCCGTCTTCACCATCACTGTCTTATGTACACGCAATTTGACCTCGGTCTCCTCGGTCTCCCTTGCGAAGCAATTCGGCCCTACCTTGACAGTCTTGAGAATATTGCAGAGGTTGACATCTGGATTGACTACTTTAGTCATTGGGCAAACTCTCGAACTGGTCCAATGGAGCCTGGTCCATCGAGATTGCAGATTGCGGGCATTGACTGTTCTGAGTCTTTCCCCAACTACGAGTAATCTTGGCATACTGGCGATGGCCCTTTCAGAGGCCCAAATCTTGCTGACCGAGCTTGGGCGGTAGGCAGGTGAGTTCTGGAGGCATGTGCGAGAAAGACTTCTAACTACGGCCTCCATCTCACACGGGGCAGACTCCACATGGTTTCTATCGCTTAGGTTGCCAGAATCATCTTATTCAGTGCATAGAGTTCCGATCGCCTTGGAACTTGATTTTGCTGCTTCTACGCAACGCATCATTTGAAACCAAGGTGACGACAACCTACTACTTCTACATGTTCCGTGCGACAGCGGGTGTTAGTACGTTTAACGGATCATTTGTTGCTCCAGCAGTGCACAGCATAGGGTCGAAAATGACCTACCAAGTCCTTGCATTCTCTTACAACTTTGTGACGAACGCTCAATACTCCACTAGGTTGTCGCCGATATCTTGCCATGGTGACTGCGACCCGTCTATCCTCCCCGGATCTACGTGGTTTCTGAACCCTCTCCCGCCCACTGACACTCCGAGCAATTCGATTGTCAATATATATTGTTCTCCTAGCATCCAAATAGACTTTACCTGAGGCCCCGGAAAGAGCGAAAAACTTTCGGGCAGGGACTGCTCCGTTTACGGTGAGAACGAGAATCCGATAGTTATCATGTTATATTTAGCAAAAAGCCAAATATACAATGGGCCGGCCATCGCTAGTGCGTGTAGCCTTCGGGCGATTCACCGAATATACCCTAAGCCTGTGTCAAGGTGTGTACATAGGCTCTGACATTGTCCGCGAACACTCATTCGCTGGGGTGTCACGCTCGGGATCACTACCACCGTAACGCTATACAGTCTCAACGACCCCACAGCGTGTTCAAGGAGTAACGACAGCATTTTGCCCCTTACAGATATTGGGACTCCAAAGTCAAACGATATTGACAGGGACGGACTTAATTTGGCGGTGAACCGGCTCCTAAGCTATACTGCTCAGGCTATTCCCCCAATCTCTTCCTTCGTGTTCATGTTTAGCATAGATCGGGAGCAGGGCATTACGACTAATCCGTAGATACATGTAAAGCACCAAAGAGCATCCTTTCCTTCTCACTCTTCCAGTTCAGCGCCAACAACGCGGGTCACCCATTCCATGCACCTCTTCCACCCGAGTTCCATACCACCACGTCTCTTTGCAGAGCTGCAGACAAAATTATCCTCAGCCGAGCGACTTTCATCCCCGATATCATCTTACAAGCCTTTATGATTATCATTTTCTAGGTGTTTATCATATGGGCGCTTGGTGTGCAAGTCTAAACGCCCAAGATGTCATTCAATCGAACGCAGGAACGATGAAGGCCATCGAAGTTATGCGGGAGGCAACGGCACTCCGACCAGGCGTTCTAGTTCGGCGGATCCCATCCAAACTCCTTCATTGACGAACCCGAGTCGCGAACCGACTCTTGAAGCGATCCATGTTATTGCAACAGCAGCAACTCCTTCTATTCCAGCGATAGCGGCTCCTTCTATGCAGACTGCATAGAGTGGCAATCCTTGGTCCCGAGACTGAACAGGGGCCAGACCTCACGTAATTACTTGCAACGTGGTGTCATACCTCTCATATAGGCATATCTCCAAGTTCAATATGGGATTCTGGTCCATTCCACCTGGGATTCTGAAGCAACAAACGCAGCATAACACCATCATCCTCATATCTGAAACGGAAGCAAGCTGGGCTAAAGTCATCTTTCCAGCGGGTTGGCGTACTCCGCGGACTGGCTGAATTAAGTCTAGATTCACGTCGACAATGGTGGGGATCGAGGCACAGGGATGACCGGGATATCATCACAGCTCCCTCCAGCCGGTCGATCTTGTCAGGGTTTAGTACTCTGTCAAACAGAGCACCGTTCGACATCTATTCGCATTTCTTCCGTGCTGGGCAACAGGAAACGAGCTGCTTCAGCCTCACCGGGTATTTCTCATCGGAGGAACTCACCACAAATGTCATCTCAGGCGGCGGGAATTCTCGCATCAAAATTTCGACGTCACTTATGATATCACAGGCAGCAAGCGCCAGGAAGTTGCTCATAGATCCCGAGGAGAGACTGTAGTACCGGCCTATCCTGACTAAAAGTAGTCACTGTGGTAGTCGCTATTGTCTTGAAGGGAAACTGGGGCTGGCTGAACTCTGCTCGATCTATCCTGATGTATAGTTGTCGTGTCCTAAAGGGGTGTCGACAACAAAATTGTGGCTGGCTGGCTGAAAGCGGCTGAAACCATTTTGATGTACAGTCACTTGCATTTGAAGGGTGTTGGCACAATAAACTGTGGCTGGCTAGCTGGCTGGCTGGCTGGCTAAATTCAGCTAGAACAGTCATTCTGATGCTGAAACACAGTCGCAAGGGTATGCTTCATTGCTTCAAGCATACTCAGCGTTAACGTAAAGCATGTGCCGGCTGGAGATGATCGGCCCTGCAAAGGCAATATCCTTTTACAACATCACCATTTTGCCTGCTCATTTAGAGTTGATGCCACAGTCAGCCGATGCCGCCAAGTTCTTCTTCAAATGCCATCTTGAGATACAATACAATGGTGAACAACATGGCCCTCGACATTTCCACTTCCCGCAGCCTTTCCCTTTCAGAGAAGTACCCAATGCGTCTTTGTGGAATGATGTACCGTCCATTTGCCGTGCGGTTCAGCTCTCAGCTCTCCACCAAAAATGTCACATCAGAACCCACAAATCGGGTTTGTCAACAAGAACACGAAACTCGCTGCTCGCAGTTGCAACCTGCAGCTACCAATGCAAGCAAGCACACCTATGAGTTCATCGCGGTGGCCAACAACCTGCTTTGTCTGCCTTTGCCCGTATGTCGACAGATTGAGAGAAAAGAAGTTGCACAACTTTTTCAGCTCGGCGCTCTTCCACACGGCCTTTGAGTTGCACCGATCGACCGGTGCTGCAGCGGAACTGATTCTCGAAGTGACGGTTATCTGTTTCCAGTTGCGTGGCAGCCTCTTCATCTGCTGTGCGGGCAGCTGCTTCGGTCGACGATTCTGGTGAGAGGCATTTCAGATATATAAGCAACTCCTGTTCCCGCATGTTGGGTCAGCCCTCTTCTCCCAAGACTCATCTCTTTCAAGGATACCTATACTTCTCCTTCTATCTATTAGCTTCGTCCTCAACCTAGTTCTGTCTATCATGGAGACATTCGTCGGCGACAAGGGGTATCTTTTACACGAGCCACCTTTTCAACATGTACCATCAGAAAAGGACCTGGAGTCGCGAGGCCTGAGCGTCGGTCATAGAGTGGGACTCATCAGGGGTTCCGGCCAGGTGGTTGCAAAATATGGACTAGCCTGCTGGGCCGCTTTGATAACTCTTGCGTTGCTCCTCTTTGCATTCTTGTGTCGACCACTGATCCTAAGCTCCGGCAGCACTGACTTGGATCATTACTATCCTTCGTTGGACTTGCTGGCGCTCGTACCAGCTTGGGAATGGACCGCCTACAGCGACGACGGTTGCAACAACGAAATCGCAGATCGAAATGATACTGGACCACTGCCCTGCACAAATTTCACCTCAGACGCCGCTGAAGTAGATCGCCTCACTATTGATATGGGGAAACACTGGGCCATCTGTCTGTACACCGGTGTTAACTGTGACACCTATAAGGGCCGTTACGATTTCTCAAAACTCTCCTGCCAAAAAGGACGCGACTCCACAGCCTATCAGATTATCGAACTCAGCGAGACTGCGGTTTGCCCGGGTGAAATCCCAGTCGAGGCCTGCGATCCTGACGCTTGTGCCCAGCAAGGCCGGGGTTGCGTTTGTGATCCACTGGGAGACCAGTGCGTATGTTAATACACAGACCCACATTCTGCCTGAGGACAGCATCTGTCTGGAAATATTGGTGATTGGGCCAACGATTCGCCTGGGGCGGAACACAGATTTACGACACAGTCTCTCTCTCTCTCTCTCTCTCTCTCTGAACAATATGGTTCTCTGGAAGCACTGGGGGCTCTCGCGGTGGATGTAATATGCCAAACGTGCTGGGAAACAGGTCATGACTCTTTTTGGGGAACGGGAAATGAAACCTGGGTTGTGACGGGCTAAAGTGATTGAAATCTCTACCAGGAAGAAGTTCCAAGTTCACTTTCTTGCTGATTTTGCTTCGGCTTTACCGTCAGCTCATTCTAGGTAGTGGCCCACATGATTTCTCTTTCTGATGTATGGTGTTGCTTTCGAATATACCTTGTGAAAGAGTGCCTACGGGGATTCGATGTGTTCGACCTAGACTTTGGCGGACCCATCGGCTGCCGTCTCCGCCATCAATGCCCTCGCCACCGGCATAGAAAATAGGCCGGTTAACCCCTAAAGTATGTAGATCTGGACAGAGATGGACTTCGCCACTGGTTGGTATGTGGGTATGTAAAGGGAAGCCTAGTACGGAGAGCTCAAGTGCAGATCCAGAAGATGCGAGTGCTTCGATAAGCAGGCGAATCAGACTTGATTTGCCGGCCCCTGTTTGACCAGTAAAGGAGACAAACCCAGGAAAGCGTGGAAGACACCGCCTACTGGAGAGCTCTTCTAGAAGCCGCGAGGATCGCTCAAAATCACGGAATACAGTTTCCCCAGTGTCACAATCTTTGTCAGTCCCAAACGAGAAGAATCCTCGTCTTGGTCTTCCAACAATACTTGCTGCTCCTTATTGCCCTCTGACCGCAGTGTCTCGAGAATCCTTCGGGCAACACGTGGGTCACTCTTCTCATGCGGCAGGCCAACTTGGGGGAAACCCATAGAGCGTTTGGCGCTCTCTCTGTGGCGAACATATGTCCCAGCATTTCCCGCAGAAGATAGCCCCGTTGCAGGACCAGCGGAAGCAACACTCGTCTTTAGATGGTCGGCGCTGACCACAGTTGCAGGTTCCGTCTTCCTCAAAGCCAACAGCTGCATCTGTGTGTTGACGTGATCACGATGTTGTCCTGATGGGGTGGATGTGCCTCGACCTCAGTCGCATCAGTGCTTGTAGGATGTTGGACCGAACTAGTTCCTGCGGTATTGGTTCTGAAACTGGCCTGTTCACCGATACTGTTGGCCGCATAAACTCTGGTCTCTGGCTTACCTTCGTCGTCAATATTGACAATTTTGAAATGGGTTGCTCCTTGTGAGCCTCCAACGTCTTGCTTTGACGCTCCACCCGCCATGAGGCGTGGAGTACGCAAGAGCTTTCTAAATCTTTGAATCTGTTTCGAACACAATTTGTTGCCTTTAGTAAAACATGTCTGTGCAGTGTTCTGTGTGGGTGTGAGAAAGGTCCTCTCGGGTCCTAAGCAATAAGCTAGGTCTTTCTAGTCTTTGTAAACTAAGAGATGCTTGATGGTTGGCACTCTGGATGATTCGAGCAGTAGATGGAGGGGAACGCTTGGAACCTACCTCAGCTCAATGTGACTTGTGGCCGCATATCGTAGAGCGGTTGATCACATTGTACTACCATGAGTCTTTGCAGAGCAATACAATCGAGCTTGTCAAGAAGATTCTAGCGGCGGACGACAATGAGACTCTCTCGCAGCTGCTCCGAGCCTGGACAGCCCTCAAGGCGGATCACAAGTACATCCAGATCGCGGTATGTCCATCCGCTGATGCACGAGCACCGAAATCTGACAGATGTGGTAGGGAAGGTTCCTATTTACTGCTGTCGCAACGTGTCGGCGTGGCCGAGTGCTGAACAAGCTCACTGGTCTGCATCGGCGCTCTTTTATATGAGCACGGACCGTCCAATTCCGAGCAGGGCCCTCAACCTTAGATATGTGCTCTCTCGGGCGAATATTGGACACTGAGAGAGATATGGCTGACCGGCAACCAGGGTTCTTTCGCATGGTTGGGATTTCGTATTGACAGACGGGCCTATTAGTAGGCAGAGGAGATAGGATATTCGAAAGGGTTGGAGAGAAAGCTGAAAGCATAGGAACAGGAACACCACTTCAAGAACAAAAAGTAGAGGATATATTCGTCTACCAGGGACGTGTTCTAGGTTTACGCGGCAGGCGAAGTCATTATCGAGCAGAAAAGAGGAGGGTGTCGTGTGTAAGTTGAAGGTGAGAAAGAGAGTCTCGAGATGTGGACGGCGTTTAAAAGCAGCGAGTGTCGCCAAGACCTAATTGGTGGGTCGAGAGAGCTCCAGGGCGTCGCCGCGCGAACCACCTCAACTTCTGCGCAGGAATCTCATTGCAGCTTGCTTCCAACATCACCAGGAAAAGTCTCAATAGGGAAACATGTCTGGTCCCTCATTAGCACCGTACATCTTGAAGCGGCCATGGCTCAAGCGGTGGATGATGCCCTTCGCCAACTGGTACGCCAACACTGCCGGCTACAGATCCCTAGGTCAGTACATCACCCTTGGAGAATAGCTTCTTCTTCCATATTTTCCAGTCCCCATGTTAACGCTGTTGGCAGGTCTGCGCCATGACGACCTGATTCCCGAAGAAAACGACATCGTCCAGCTCGCACTCAAGCGACTTCCCCCGAAAGAAGCCTATGACCGAGTTTTCCGTCTCAGAAGAGCTTTTCAGGTATGCCATGTGATGAGGAAGAGGGGGACATGGGACAGCTAACGGGTTGATATCACAGTGCTCCCTGTCACATCATTTACTGCCTCCTGCGGAACACACCAAGCCCGAAGACGTAAGGATTTCTCCAGCACGCTGAAAATTCATTGAGGATTCTACTTACTCATGCATCGTTCATAGGACATTCCATATCTGAGTCCCATTATCGAGGAAATTGAAAGAGAGGAGAAGGAGCGTGCTGACCTGGAGTCTATGATTGTTGAACCAAGGAAGCAATCGTGAACTGGCAGGTCGATGGACCAACAAGGGCGGCTGGCCGGAGTCCCAAAAGGAATGTGAATGCTGAATTATTGTACATAGCATACAAAGAGAGGGAGCTTGAATGGAATCCATAAGCAACCTAAGCTAACTTTGCACTCTACGCCTGCATGACCTCAACATCCACATCTTCCACTCGCCACATATACCACATAAACAGACTCCGATACGGCGCAAACGGCGCACTCTTCTCAAGCATATCCTGCTCAGACATGTATTTCCACTTGCCACCGCCCTTTGCTTTTAATTTCTTCACGTCTTTGCCAAAAAAAGCAGCCATCCCCCTCTGAACGCCTAGGTCACCGGTGGAAATGATATCAAGCCGCTTGAGCGCGAAACAGGCAAACATCTCCACACTCCACCTCCCCAGTCCGCGGACCGCAATGAGTTTCTCCATAACCTCTTCGTCTGATGCTCTCATAAGCATCTCATTTGTGAGTTCTCCAGAGGCGAATTTTTGAGCTAGGCCTTGGATATACTCCGCTTTCCGTTGAGACAAGCCGGCAAGCCGTAGTCTAGCAATTTCCGCAACCGCCACTTGGGCTGGTGTCGGGAACTGTACTTCTTCAGGCCCTTCTTCGTTGAACAAAGCAATAAACTTATTCTTGATGGATTTGGCAGCGGCACCCGAGACCTGCTGGCCCATAATCCCGCTTGACAATGAGCGAAAGGGGTCAATCGTCTCGGCGAGACCCTTGGCCGAGAATATATGGCATGGATGTTTTTCGATCAGTGGCTTCAAGCGTGGCTCGACCCTGATGAGATGGGCACAAGCTTGGTCTAGGAGAGTGTTTGTGGTCGCGATCGGCCGAGGGAGGCCTGTTTTTGATGGGGTCGACTCGGGAAGAGTGTCTTCGTACGCGACATGCGGTGTCCCTCCAGGTGTGACTAATGGAGCATTGGTGATATGCGGTTCAACGGGGCGGTTAGGAGGAGGAGTTGCATCGTCAATGTCCCCAGAGCTGTAAGGAGCTCGAATAACGTTGATGAGACTCGGCGTCGGAGTCAATGGTGGGTGCTTGGGCTGTGCAACAGTAGCCCTTCGTGCATTCGCCTTTTTTATTGGCGTCACAGGCACTTTGAATTCCGACTCCGCCTGGGGCACCCCATTGACAATAGGGATCTCTTCCTTGTCAACTGCTGTTTGCTCACCGGCGCCATGGGCCTTTTGCCTTTTGGCTTTCGTCCCTTGCCCTTGCGAGCCAGATGTCCGTCTCTTTGGCCCTTTGGCCACATTCTCTGGTCTATCCGGTGCTGAAAGAGTGGCAATTGATGCGATCCTGCTAGATCGACGAACAGACATGACAGATAAACGCGCTAGCATTCAATGATTGGTGGTTTGTACATTTATAATCTTTCTCCTGGATTACGAACTGGTCAAAGCCGAGCATATACTCCGTAAATGCCGGGAGGTGGAGAGACCGGAAGTTGGCCTGTCCGTTCTCCAAAGAACAGCAGTCTGAGACTGAAGAAGAACGGGGAGTTGATATGCCGTTGACGTGGGATGAAGTGATGTTATATTCTCTCCTTCAGCCCATGTAGAACCTCGAATATCATTGGCTCACGCGTTTTCGGTGCCTAATGTCAGTGCCAAGCATCTGTGGCTTGAGGGCATGTGGCTGACATAAGCCAGTCCTTCGTTCCGGAACAATAGCCGCCAGCATGATACCAATCATCCAGGACTACAAGTACATACCAAGGCTGTTCTCATCACCCGCGGTGTGTTGTTTAGGCATTCCTAACCCATATGGCTTTCCTGTGTTATCGACTGGAAGATACATTCTGCTCAGACAGAAAGTGTCCAGGAATATACAACAGAGAACATGTCATGTCGTGCGATATGTATCAGAAAACGCAAGTTCCCGTTGTGCCGCCGTTCTCGATCCGAGGATTCGGTTTTGTAGAAGGCTAGCGGATGACGCGGCTACACACGGAGCTTCAAGTTTCTTGTCCACCACCAAACTGGTTCCTGCGACAGCTTGTTCCAGGCCATGATCTCAATAATAGGTAAGTAATCTCTCAGCTGGAGATCTTCCTCGTCTCGCTATCTCTCTACCTAATACCAGACAATACCTGATCAATTCCAAGTGATCCACCAGATGAGGTTATTGATCGGATCTGATGGAAATTTGAAGCCTGCATATCGAAAGTGGATGCCCGAAGATGGAAAAGCTCTATCTCTGCGGCGGGAACCTGTTCCAGGATCGTGGCAAGGAGGCGTCGTATCGTCCTGTCACCAAATAACAAACTAAAACCGATGGTGGAACAAGTGTGGAGGGCCTTTACCTGATGCGGTAGAGTCTGTCGGTTGTGTGCTATGAAGATCCGGTGGTGATGGATGCGGCCATGGCTGCGGAGGTTATCATAAACCTTGATGACTGCGCAGACAGATCAGCAAGTTGCCTGGTCGGAGGTCGCTGGAGGGATAAAATTGATGCTGGTCATGAGTCCACATTGGCCCATGATGATCAGGCAAGCTGTTTTGCGAGACGAGACTTGAGGTTCAAGCTTGAGCAGGGATTGCAAATGGTTCCGCCTGCCCGGCCTTTGACAGCTTGACCTTGGAATTTTCTGCATCATGAGGTACGGGTACAACGTAGAAGGTACCCTGTGCGCACAATCAGCACGCCTGGAGTCGTTATGACCATTATCTGGATGCCACCAAGCCTCGCACGCCACCTTTAATGGGTAGAATTGCTCCATTATTTTCACATGTGGATCGATAGTTCGCAGCTGTGCCCATAAGTACGAGTAAGTACTTAAGTACTTACCTAAGAAAAGAAGAAGGGCAGCGATCAAGCGAAATGGCGGCTTATCCACTCTGACAAGGATACTGCAAAAGTAGCGTTATCAGTCGTAGAGCATCAGGTTATCCATTAAAATCTTTGGCTTTCTGTGCTCGAACGTGGCTAGTACGGAGTCCATGGCATCTGCTCCATCTTCGAGCGTCGAATGTCTCAGATGAGAGGGGACATATGGACTCTGGAGAAGTCTGTGGCCACTGGCCAGAAGGCGATCGGCTCTAGCCAGCTCGGCAGGAATGGGAATGGGGGGGTTTTGCGGCATGCAGCATGCAGCATGTGCGGGCTGGTGGAGGAAGAAGTGGCTGAAGCTGGAAATGGGGGTCGGTTGAAGGGTGGATGAGAGCGCCGGCACCAACTCAATTGTGTGTACCGAGTACCAAAGTTGGTAGGTAGGTACCTACTGTAAAATACTAAGGGAGTCTGTGGGTGTTTGTTGTGACAGTACGCATAGGTACCCCTGTACTTCGGGCAGCCCTCTCCTTTTTGCACTCTGACTTGCTTGGCTACGCTAATGATGCAACCCCGACTCCGTAGGCTCCACCTGAGACGGCAAGTGCTGTAGCTGCCCCCCAACTTCCGGCCATTGACAGCCACACCGCAGCTGCGGCTCCCCTGGTCTGGTCTGTTACCAGGGGGGCCCCTGGACTTGCCCTGAACTGCGGGTAAGAGCCCGCCAGATGGTCAAACAACAAGGGCTATAAGGGCCACCCAGGGCCACCGCGGCCACTAGCTCAACCAGACCGGATGTCAAAGCAGGGCCTATTCGGAGGTGCTCTGCTGTCTAGCAGCCAATCAGTGGCCCGCCCTGCCCAGCTCAATCCCATCCCTTCAATTGCCAATTCCTCGCTGCGTCCATTTTTCCTGCCATCCCCCTTCTCTCTTCACGCACCCGCTTGCACGCACAACAGTCTATCGTTGCTGCATTTTTTCCTTTCTACACTTCCATTCTATCTTCTCTTCAGGAAGCCAGCCACGCGTTGACTCTTGGGCCCCAGAGAGTCGTCCCTACCGCCGGCTGTGTTGTGTTAACAGTCCCCCCCCCCAAAGCAACAACAATCAACGAACCAGCTTCTCCTTCGCTGAAGCTGATTTTATCCCATCCTCGCTGTGTTCACACTGCAGACTCACCAGATTAATTCTTGTACTCCCCAAAAGTTTCTTACAACTCGCTCAGGGCCAGTTTCACGCCTTCTATCCTCTTTTAATATTGCATTGCAGGTGAGTGCTGCCACCGCGCCTCCCCGCTCCGTGTCTGCTTTGCTGTCTGTCGACCGCGTCACCGTCACCTTGTCAACTCAGCCAACCTCAAACCAACCTTCGTTTGTCACATCGCACAGTGTATAAGTACGAGTACTGATCCAGGTTGCAGCTCTTCGCTGTTCTTAGGACACCATGACTTTCTCCAAAATCATCCTCCCTACCCTCGCCCTAGCGAGCTCTGTCTTGGGTACGTCCTCACTGTCTACAAAAGTTGGATTCAAGGCATTGTGCCAGACTTGGGCAAGAGCTGGTTCTCACAAGCGGAGCTGCGTGTTTTTGGGCAAATTTTGGAAGCTAACTCTGATTTAGCACAGGGTGGGGGCGGCGGCAGCAGCAGCAACGACATCTGCAATGGACCCTCGATCACCATTGTCACTAGTGCCGATGCCGAACAAATCGCCAACTGTGAAACATACGATGGCGACATTATCATTGATTCCACTGCATCGGGCCAAATTGCGATCAATGGGGTCCAACAAATAACGGGTGACCTCACTTGCAACAATGCGACTCAACTCACGGCTATCACATCGGATCAGATCAACACGATTCAGGGTACATGGAGTTTGAGTGGCCTCACCATACTCTCCACCTTGCAATTTGACTCTCTGACTGGTGTAAACAACATCAATTGGGTTGGGCTCCCTGCACTGCAGAGCCTTAATATGGCTCAGGGCATTCAGAGGGCGAACAATGTCTACATTTCCAACACGCAATTGAACAACATAAATGGCATTGAACTGACAGCTGTCGGAAGCATGAACATCAACAATAACCCTTACCTCACCGATGTCAACGTCAATGATCTGGCCAATGTCACCAACTCGCTTTCCTTCTCCGCCAACGGTCGTGACCTAGCCATCTCCTTCCCCAACCTCCAAGATGCTGCCAACCTGACTTTTCGAAACGTCAGCAAGATCGACATGCCATCTCTCTCAAACGTTGCTGGGTCCATGGGCTTCTACTCTGACAACTTCCAGACCTTTGCCGCGCCCAACCTGACTCAAACGGGCGGCACTTTGGCCTTCGTTGACAGCCCCAACTTGGCGAGCTTCTCTTTCCCCTCCCTCACAACCATTGGTGGTGGTTTCTTGGTCGCAAATAACACCAACCTCAAGGCGATTGATGGTCTGCCCAAGCTGCAGACGATCGTCGGCGCTCTCGACTTTGCAGGAACTTTCTCCAGGTAAGGACTTGGGAATCGTTTCATGTCATTCACTGTTCGGTGCTGATCTGGATTGCAGTGTCACGATGAACAAACTCAGCGACGTTCGGGGCGGATCTAATGTGCAAACTACCTCGACCAACCAAACAATCTGCCAGCTCTTCGACCAGGCTCATGCGAACGGCGTCATCAAGGGTGTCAACACCTGTCTTACCAACAAGGCCAACCCTGAGACCAACCCTACTGCGACCAGCGGCGGTACCTCTTCCACTTCGACAAGCAGCTCCGGCAGCAGCGGTAGTAGCAATGCCGCTATCACATTTGGTCCCACCACATCCATGACCGGTCTTAGCGCTCTGATTGCTGCCATTTTCTTCCTCTAAAGTATTGGGTCATTGGGCGTTGCTTTTCCGCTCCACTTAGAATAGCTTAATATGCGACGGGTGATGTCTCGATCCTTGTGCTTGTCAGGCCCTTTTTTGAGCGATCAACTCTCTTTTTAACGAAACAAACAACAAGATAGGTGGAGGCTTGCGACTCGGTTCTCACAAAACAAAAGAAGCGCGTGCGCATCTGGAGTGTGGGGACAAGGGTTTCTTGTGTTGGGAAAGATCTAGTACTGGCAGATTGTGATTGAGAGCGAACAGGGCTCCGAGGAGCTCGCTTGCGCGTGGATAGGCATACAAATGAAACATGTTTCCTTGACTGTGGCTTGATGCCATCCATCTGCGCTTTCCATGGTGATATGCCTTTCTTTCATCGGTTGGTCCAACTGGCCAGCCACGAGAGGGTCAGGATCATGGCACGTCGACGCAGCTGCACAAACCACGGTCGGACAAGTGAGGGACGGACACTAGGCTCGTTCGTAGGCAAAGGACGGTGATATGTTTATACCATCAGCACCAGCAGACTTGCTTATCTTGATTCTGCGACCTCGAGCGCAGCTTTGCGATTCCCCTGCAACCGTCAGCGTCATCCCGGTTCACTTCTTGTTTCTAAGCTGATGACAGGATGCGGCCGCGAGTAGCCGGCATTCAGGGGTATCTCAGCTTACAGGCTCATGCTAGATTTGATGGAATGATACCGTTGAATGACACTCAGTCAGCATTGTCCAAACGGGTTATCGGGACGCATCGAAGAGTGGCGGCTAAGCAGGGCTATGATTGGCCCCCCTAAAGTCAGGCCAGCGTGCTCTGAAGATCATCGTCACAGTTCCTTGGAAGCGGCAGCGTGGAGCGACAAAGGCTATTACGTCCCCTGCCTTTTTTTTTTGATCTAGAGAGGGCCATCACAAGTTTCGAATAGGTAAGTAAGGACTTTACTTAGATTTGGGCCGCTGACGGGGGGCGGTACCTGAATTCGCTGAGTAAGAAAGAAGTATTTACCTGTAGGGTGATGAAAGAACGCCAGATTCGACCGTTCGGTCGAGTGTCTACCGCATGTAGCTGGACGAGCTAATTACAGGCCAGGTTCGTCCGTTTGTCTCACGTTCGGTGCCTTCGCGATTCGGGCACAAGGGCTTGTGGAGGTCGATCGAGAGGATACGACTCGAACGGTCAGCTTTGCTCTGTTGAGATGTTACGAATGCGGAAAGACGGGTGGGAAGTATGGCCTGTGTCGGAATCTGACTTTGAAGCCCTGGTTTTAGTGGACCACATTAATACGTATGCGCGTCTTATGCGGGTGGCCACGAAGGGTGAGAAAAAATGCGGGTAGATGTATACAAGTATAAGTAGGAGATCATCGCTCACTGGGCAAAGACTTCGATATAAAGACTTTTGCACAGATATAGACATCATCTCCGTCCTTCTTTTTCCGCCCTGATATCAAAACACGACACCAAGTGGTCATCAGCCTGTCAAGATGCCCCGAAGAGATGTCTCTTTCAAGACCTCGGACGGGGTGACCCTGCGCGGGTGGTTCTTCACTCCTCCATCCTCCAACACCAGCTCTTCCACGGGAATGAAACTCCCATGCCTAATTCTTACCCACGGCTTGTCATGCATCAAAGAAATGGGCCTGTCAGATATCGCCACCAAGTTCACCGAGGAACTACCCATCACCTGCCTTGTGTATGATCATCGAGGATTTGGCGCCTCGGACACCGCTGCAGGCCAACCCAGACAGGAGGTCATCTCCTGGTTGCAGAGCAACGATATGCGGGATGCGATAACATACGTGCAAGGTAGGGAGGAAGTCGACAAGTCGAAAATAGCGTTGTGGGGCTATTCCCTTGCTGCGGCGGAGGCCGTGTATGTCGCGGCTATTGATCGACGGGTGAAAGCTGTGGTCTCGTTGGGACCGAGCATGAATGGGAGCGAGATCGTGAGAAGGATGGCACCTCCTCACTCCATATTAGCCATGCAGGGTCTGTTTGAATTGGATCGTCTTGCGAGGGCCGACGGCAAAGATCCGATCACGGTGCCTGTTGTGAGCGATGAGCCCGGTGTGCAGGCCACGTTGCCGAGTCAGGAGTCGTGGGATTTCTTCTCTAAATGGATGACGAACGGATCGAGTTGGAAGAACGAGTTGACGCTGCGATCGTGAGTTCCACTCTCCCTTTCCACCATAATCTTACCTGGGCGAAGGAGGGGCCTTTTGTCAGGATCTTTGTCCGCTGACGAGATAATCACACAGCCTTGACGACATCTCAACAATGGCGTTGCCCATATCACATCTCGACGATCTCACCCCGACCCCCGTCCTCCTCGAAGCGGCCACGAGGGATACCAACAGCCCCCCTGACATGACCATGAGATGGTACGCGAAGCTGAGTGAGCCGAAGGAACTGGCGCTGGTGGACGCAGATCATTATGAATTGATGGGTTCGGCGAGGAACGTCTTACATCCCAAGGAAGTGGCATTTCTCAAGAGGACCATTTGCTCCTGAGCGATGGTAAAGGAACAACTGGGAAGAGGCTTCTGCGGGCCTCTGATAGTCGGTTAGTATTCGGCCTTCAGGGATGGAAGCCTTGGCTTGGCAGACTGCGAGGCTGCGAGACTGCAAGATTCCCCTTTTCAAAACCCAAGTTCTATTCCTCATTTGCACAATTTCCTTTTCTAGCTTTCCATCCTTCACAACCCTATGTTGTGCGTACCTTGAAAGCCCGGTGACGGTCGAACAACTGGCAGAGCCTTTTATTCCGCAGTTGTCTCCCAGACACCACCGATTCCTGCATTGTTGTAATGCCTCCGAAAGGGGGGGAGTGATGGGGAATATAGCTGAACCAACGAAGAAGGAGAAAGGGAAAGGAAAAATGGCTGTCCGCAGCCGTCGTCATCATAGTGCTCTGTTCATCTTGTGTCTTGTAGCGTTGGACTATATGAGGCTGAGTAGAGCCGAACTGATCTGAATTGAACTGAGTTGGATTGTTCGAGTAGAGTAAACGAATACGATCTACCTCTCTCTTTGGTTAACACCTTGCGACTCCGCTCCGGGGAGCGCAGATTCCAGAAGTCTTGGTATGATATTGAGGAAATGGCCTGTGTAGTGATCGCATCGTGTACCGGATGTGCCGGAGAGAAAAAAAGGATGGCGGGGTTCAGTAACGTGCTTAAAAACGCTAGTCGTGATGCTCTCTTCGGGAAGGGAATAGGGCGGCGAAGAGATTTCTGAGTCCAGTGAGTAGGATCTCACAGCATGAGAATATATAGACAAACACCTAGGTTTTTCCGTGCCGAGCTCAGGGGAGTATCCGACTTCATGAGATTGGTTGCTGACAGCGGTATAGATGTCAAGGGGAGGCGAGAATAACCTGTTGGCCTTGCAACAACCAGGAATTTTCACCTGCATTTTCGCCCGAGGTAAGAGTGGCAGGAACTTTGAAAAAGAAGACCCGGATACCACCCAACCGCCCTCTTTCCAGGTAATATATGTAGGTCATCAGATGTTGATACAGAATCGTCGATTAGTGATGTACTGGTTCGTTGGCGTCATGATTGTAAAATTGCCGCTATCAAGGTTGGATGTCTATGCCGTAAAGATGGTACTGGAGAACTGATGTTGCAGAACTGACGCTGAAGCCTGAAAAAAGGTATTCTGAAGAAATAATGCTGTGGAGATATCTCAATTTTGTCATATGCGTCTAGATACTAAGCCACACCCTGGATGGACTACCGAAAATAAAAGTTCGATCGAGGTAATCTACAAAGTCTCCCTGCCATATTTCCAAAGATGATATGGCCCAATTTGAATGCCAGATATCAACGACATGGGGTAACTAGTTGGAGTTAGGTGCCATTGAGAGAAGATGGGAACAGTTGTGGAAATTGACTCACCATAACTACATAAATGGTCCAAAGAACTCCTTCAAGCCTCCCTACCATCCTCTTTCCAAGAAAATAGTCGTGCAAGTTGATGTGGTCGTCAATATTTGTACGGAGTATTGGTGTAAGGCATCAATGTGTCGTCAACAGCTGTCCAAGGTATCTTAGATCTTGACGACCAAGACTACAATATAATGTCAATGGCATATGGTTGTACAAGGTATGTGAAAATGATGATGTATGTTTTGGTGAAGTGTGCCGCCCGTCAAACGCCTCGTAATATTGAGCAAGATTGAATACGTCCAGTCAAGATGTTGTCGTCCACAAAGCAGTAAATAGCTGAGAACCCCATCCAATGTAAGTGACGTGAATTGCTGCATGAATTGTGCCAAAAGATTCTGGAAGCCACCCTGCCACCCTCTTTCCAGAAAATCGTGTCGGTGAGAGTTTGGATTGTTGGTTGGTGCTGAACCAAGTGAAGGCGTGGAGAGTCCTGTGCCTTGTTCGGCTTTGAGGACGCAATATGCAGCTTATATTGCTGGCAAACTCTTGAAGTTGATGTTCTGTGAAGAAGCAGGAAGACACCGAGATTGTTGTTTGATGGATGAAAATGGGATGATTTCTAAGAACCACCCTGCCACTTTCCAAGCTGTCGTTTGGTGTAAGTCGTTGTCATTTCGACACGTTGTTGATGGATGCTGCGCTTCGTTTATCGTGCGTGCCCCCTGTGTCGTGTTTGAGGACTGTAATATCCGTCCTGAAAGCCAAGGCGCTGGCTCTGGAGGCGAGAACAGAATGTTTTTGCTGGTTAAAAGGAGTGCAGGAGACCACCCTACCACCCTCTTTCCAGATTCCGTTGATTCAATAAAGTGTGGGTCTGACATTGTGCGTCAACGAAGGAACTGAAGTTCTGAAAGACGCTTTTCCAGTGCTGAGTCTGTGGGTTGCTGTGTGAGGTTGTTATGCTGACGGGTTGAGACATGTCGAAAAGAAGTCCCGGAATCCACCCTACCACCCTCTTTCCAGGATTGTTCAAATGCTGATGTTGTGTTGTTGACGGTTTGAGAGATGTTGAAGATCTGCCGAATATTGTTGACAGTCTGGAGAAGCATTGATGTAGTGTTGTTGAAAGTGCGAGGTAAATGTAGTTGAGAGTGCATCAATAGTGCTGTGGTTGAGAGGTAGGAATATTGTCTTTGAGAGCGCGAGGAGAGTGGTGTTGTGATTGACAGTGTGTAGATAGTGGTTGTTGTTGAGAGTGTGAGACTAATGTGGTTGTTTTTGAAAGTGTGAGGAAACCATTGATAGTTGCAGAGCCTTGAGAGGTGTTGGAGTGTTATTGTTGAAAACGTGAGATAAGTGTCGATACCCATAGAGCCAGAGAACCACAGAGCCTTGAGAAGCGGTGCTGATCTTTGGAAGGCTGCGAGATGATAGGAAAGAGTCCTGGAAGCCACCAAACTGCCCACTTTCCAAAATGAACTCCAAGGCGTGATGATCAAATGCTGATGAAGTGTTGATACCGTATTGCTGCAGCTTTGATAAGGTACTGATGAGATTTTGGCGAGATGTAGCTTTGGTGAAGTGAGGTGATCCACTCAAACTCCAGCTGCAAAGGCTTCCACGTTGGCCTCTGACTGAGACCTGATGGACAGTTTGTGGAATGGGACGGATGATGGATGACGAAAGAAACCCTGGAAAACCACCCTGCCACCCTCTTTCCAGGCTTGATAGCCTCATTGGTTGTTCGTCAATGTGTTGTGTAGGTCCAAATGTTGTGGACTGAGGAATGTTTTCTATAAACTGTTCGGAACAAGAACTGACTGAGCAAGCCATTGTTTGATCTGCAGCTCAAACAACAACTGCTAGGCCAGATCTTGTCTTCACAGTTCCAGTATCATGTGTTGACTGCCGTGAAGATGATGTTGGAGACTGATGTTGATGAAGATGATATTGAAGAGGGTGTCGATGATGATGATGATGATGTTGCCGATGGAGATGGTGTCTGTCGGAAAAGAATTTGTTGTCTTCAGCCCTTCAAGCTGGTTCCGTCTCTACTGGCGCTTTTGTGTTTTGCAGCCCGCCCTGACCAAGTTCCGCAGCCTCATGCATGCCTCTGATGTCGACCTGGGTCTGATGGCAATGTGTGACATCCTAGGCGCCTTAGGAGCCACCAATCGCTAAAGACCACTAAAACCAAGACAGGTCTGGTTGCTGAGTTGTGGTTAGGAAGACACGTACCCCTTGCCCGTAAGCCGTAAATGCGGGCACTTGGGGGTTGTTGACGGCCGTCGTGGCCGTGGGGACAAGACGAGGCATTGCAGCCGGTTGCGCTTTGGGCAGATTCTGCTGCCAAGGACCGCGAGGCTGCGGAAGAGCGCCTGCGGACCACACCGAGTCTCTGATGGGTTCTGTTCGGGCTAAGTTGAGGCCCATTTGAGGCGCGACGGCAGCCGCGACGGCAGTCACTTGTCGGGGCATCTGCTGCTGCCAATTGAGCTGTGGTGTCCTATTGTCCAGGACCACGTTGTTTTGCACAGCTCCCTGTGCATTGACCCTGACGGGTTCTGGGAGCTGGCGTCCGTCTGCCCGGCCGCTGGGCTTGTGAGGGCACGATTTGATGTGCCGCTTCATGTTGTCGGCGCGGCTGCTGCTATGGTTGCAACCGCGTTGGTGCCATGAACACCTATAGACGCTGGCCTCGCCTTTGCACTGTTTTTTGTGCCTGCGGAGATTGGACGGGTCTGGACGGAGGCTCGTTTGGCAGACATCACAGACCACGCGCGCTCCGCGGTGAGCGCCGAGCACATGGCTGTTGAGACTGTTCTTGGCCGAGAAGGACTTGGCACACTCTGTGCAGGGAAAAGCCATCTTGACTGCTCTAGTGGTTGAGCGTGTAGAGCACTCTGTTGGCAAGTTCAAGGTGTTGATGGCAGGTGGCTAGGAGGCCCGGAATGTGACAGACTCCTTTGGCGTTTGGGAGGTCGTTGTCTTCAAGACAACGATGTGTGCAAGTGACTGCTGAGTTTGGAGTTGAATGTCGAGTTGAAAATGGAGTGCGTGTCGAGTTGATTGATCAGATTGTGTCGTAAGTGCTGTATGGGTCTGGGAAAGATAGGAGAGGAGAGACAGAGCAGAGGAAACAGGGCGGTATTTGTAGCAGGATGGAAAACCTGCGCAAGAGCCCACCATCTGGTTGAACCACGAAACGTCTCTGTGTTGTAAACTTACCATGATGTCGACGCAGAGCAGAGCCTCTCCCGGTGGGGATAGAACCATTGACCAGAGCATAACAAAAAGTCAATGATTTGACCAGACGCGGTTGAGCAGGCTGCCAGAAACACATGAGACGGAAGGGGAATGGATTGGAGCTTGACGGAAAACGACATTGGATTTGAAAACCATTATGGGCAGTAAACTTTCAGCGTTTAAAGACGCGAGTCGTGATATCTTCTGGTAGGCGCGCGGCATGCTAACAAGGGAATTTTGCCGCATTGATTGGCTCAACCATAGGGATACAGTATGTCCGGCATCAAGACTGTATTGCGCGATGGGTGGGTAGTTGTGGAGATCATTTTCAGAGTCAATGCTCAGCCAGCGGTCAGCTCTTGCAGGCAACCAAGATAAGCCAATTGTCTCGGATCTGAAGCTGGTTGAGGATTTGCAAGGGGGTAGGTGTTTAGATCGAAATCCATCTCGGGATGTCTAAACGAGCTCAATCCAAGCAATTCGTATAGGAACCCAAGAATTTTCAATTGCCACTTGATGACACGTACCGAGCACCCCGTACGTGACGCCGCGCTTCAAAATGCGGTCGAAATGCCGTGGAGCTCTTTGCAGGCCGTTGACTCTCCGATCCCCAGACTCCCTTCCTAGCGGCATCCTTTCGGCTGCTTTTGAGTCTTGCCCTCGTCCTGCCGACCCAGGTGATAGTGGTTCAGATGGGGCCCTGCAGACCGCGCAAAATGAAACTGTATCCTTTTTTTTCCCTAATGGTATCAACGCAGCTTGGACTCTCCATGATGCCTGTACGTGGCAATTTTCTTTCCTTCTTCATTCCACGCCCATACGTGCCATCATGGTATTGAGTGGAGTCGTAATTTTCTTTCTCGTATTTTTTACCTCTTTAAACTTTGAAAATTCTGCAGCGCCTTGTAAAATCTTTCACAGTGTCCGAAGGGGAGAGAGGAGAGAGAATATGTCCCAGTCCTGCCTTCTACAAATGTTGGGAAGCAGTCTATTGACGACCGTGGTCAAGCTGGCTGTCTGGTGAAGTTGGAATTAGGTGTGTTGGTGCTTCGCATGGGCTGTGTGCTGCACCGTACTCAATACTGACAGCCTTGTGCCAGCCTTGGTGGAAGTGACATCTTGGCGATCCATGCACGTGCCAGCAGCGGCAGCAGGACCCACCCAAGCCCACCTTGCCCAAGGAGCCGAACTGTCTGCCAAACGAGGTCAAAGTTAGATCCCCGCCATGTAACCGCGCACAGCCTCTTTTTCGTCGCTTCTTAAACCCTCGACTCATCCCGCACCCTCTGTCACCACTGTTGTCTTGTGTTCAGAGTCTCCTTCCGATCTTTCTGGTCAACCTGACCAATTTACCTCGCCTCCCCGGAGCTCCGCACGTTGATCTCCGGCAATTTCGCCCTTATCCGTCAACCCCCTGGCGTTCCGTGATGGGGAACTTGTGTTCCAAATCATCGAATAAACCGGACAACTTTGCCACCCCTGGCCGCACAGTTGGATCGAGCACGCAACCTAGACAGACTTCGGCGCCCGTTCCGCAAAAGATTACGAGTAGCACTCCTGGTCGAGCTCTTGGTGGGGGTGATGCAACCTCGAGCGCGGACGATGCGAGAAGCGCTGCTGCAAGAGCAGCGGAGGTAAGTGCTGCTGTGCTGCAACTGGTAGATGAGTGCCAGGGTCAGAAGCCTGGTTTTTCAGCCTCGCCCTGACGCTGCGCGAATGTCCCTGACTGCGAGTGATCTGACTGAATCCATAGGAGCGTGCCGCAAAAGCCAACAAGCCTGGCGGCAAACTTAGCAGCCAGTTGTCAGCACAGAAAAAGCAGACCCAGAGCCAACTGCTGAGTTCGGGTTCCGAGTCTGAGCGGCGAGCGCGAGACGCGGACCGGAGTGCAGAAGCTCGAAACTGGAATTGAGCCAGAGAGGTTGGCCCCATGCAAGTCATCGCGGTTTCCCTGGTTTGCGTGCTTGGACAACAGCCGGAATGCTTCTGCCTGTCCCAATCTCAGCATTTTGCCATCCACACACAGGAGTTTTGACGATCAACTGACACCCCGATCTTTCAGTGGTTTAAGAGCCTGTCCATGACTCACGCAGAATTCGCCGAAGTGCACAGGCGGGAATGTTTTGATTCTTGTTGATGATCTTGGTTCATAGAGGGTTTCTCCGGCTCCCCCAACAGACATCCACCTACTGGTTCTATGGTGGTGATTCAGGATCGTGCAAAGCGGCGAGGTTCTCTCCCTTTTGAAGTGAATGCTTTTGAAGTTGGGTTCTCTCTTGCATGATGTTGCTGGTCCTGCGGAGTTATTGGAAGTCCATACTGCGCTCCTTGAACATATTTACCTCTTTCTCTTTGGAACAGTTTGCTCGGACGAAATCAGTACTCACCACATTGTGGATGGCTTGATTACGCTCGAACTCGGTCGCGTGGTAGGAAATCCGGAAACCACTATTTTCGTGGATACAAGTTTTCGCGAGACAACTTTTATTAGAGACCAATTTGCTCCAGAGCCACTACAGGGATGCCTGCTCGCCTCTCACTTCTTCCGACGGACTCGTAGAGGGCGACGCAGAAATTTTGGACCCGGCCTTGAAAGCACTTCTCCCAACACCCTCATTGCCATGTATATGACGTTTTCGAGACCGCCATACCAGAGACAAAGGCCAATTGTGGCAGTGTGACACACCTGGGCCTTTAGCACTAACTTCTCCTTTCCCTCCTCGTCGGTCGAGTTCCTGACATCCTCCTATCGCCGTCTTCTCTGATGTCTCGAACTTGTGTGCTTCTGAATGCCACTACGGCCTTATTGCCACATCTATGCTCGACCTTGTCTTTGGTCCCTACGGCCGTCTATGGAGTATAGCGACAAGTCCCGTTGAGGGTAGCATTAGTGAGAACCAATGAAGACTAGACTATCCTCTGATCTGTCTGGCAATTTCACGACAGATCAACGGTGCGGGAAACGGTGCAAATGAGAGGAACGACGGGGACGGGCTCTTCAAACGGGGAGGTCAGAGGCAAAACGATGACCTTGGAGACGACTCGGACGAAGAATCGCTACAGTCCTTTTCTTTCGGTACTAGGCTACAAGTAGGTACTGATTTATGTGGAAAGGGGATAGGGAGTTGAAAACAAGAAAGCAAATGTATACGCCACGGTCGCAGCAAAAACTACCGTCTCCTCTTGAGTCTCATCCCTTTTTTATCTTGTCATGTCTCTCTATCTCCACGTCCCCCTTACCGTATGTCAAAGAAACTCGCAAATGCAATGAGTCTAGCTTGCGGGCTTCCACATCCGACATATCTTGGTGGCTCATTCATTTGAGTAGCTCCGCGTTCCTAAGGCAGGCCAGACGCATGGCTGGGTCAAACACCAAATAGCACTTTTGTTCTCTCCCTCTCTCCATTTGATGTCCATCATGAATCCAGCTGTTATATTTCCGAGCAGACTCCTTTTGGCCTGAAACTAAGAGCCTCCCGACTGTCTCTGACGCCAGAAATGCCCACGGGTGTCTTCGCTGTATCTCTTCCGAGGTATGGCATGCCGTGCAAATACAATGCTTGCCACAATATGGGTATAAGGAACCAGTAGGGGCAGAAGAAAGTCCAAGGCAAACCCAGGGCCGTTTTGTCATGTTTTTCATTTCATTGCTCATTTTTCAGTCCGTGCCGGTTGCGCTCGGCCTCAGTGTCATGGAGCTTTGCTTTGCGCCGAATTCATAGCTCAAATTTCGTCTCGTTTAGCCCCGCTCATCACAAAATCCAAGCCCAGTCGGGCAGTCAGTCGTCTTTACCTCTTTTAAATCAATTTCGAGTCATAGGCTCTGGGTTCGGGTCCACTTCGATCTCTTTCTCTCCAGCCACACATGCGGAGTATTCGTTCATTGCCATCCGAGGAGTTGCATTGAATAACACTCACGCCGTTAGAATTACGCCGTTTTCCGTCTCACTCATTTCGCGGTGAGCTGTTCTCCGTTCCTTCGCCAGGCAAGAGATTCCCTCTGACAGCAAACATCTTTCCCGTGGTGCCGGCGACAAACCCATCGACCTGTCTGGCATATTGCTCAACCTGGCGACTATTCAACATGCTCTCCAAACGACTCGGCTCTGTAGGCAACTTGAACAACTTCTGCCACTCGTCCTCTGGCAACGGTGGCTGCTTCGACAATGCTCTCGCCGCATTCTCGGCCTTACGTTTCTGCTGCCACTGCTGGATCTTAGCCTGCTCGCGGGCTAGAGCGCGGGAATAGTACGAGAAGTTGTTGGCTTCGACGTGGTGGGTCTCGATGCTATCGAGAAGGTTGTCGCAGGTTTGAGAGAGGTACGGGTCAATAGAGATTGATAATGATTCAAAGGATGGTGCGAGGGTGTCGTTCTTGACGATAGGGTTGTTCTCAATCTCGTCGACTGAGCTGGGAGGTTTCATGACGCCGGAGGTCAGCATGCGGGGAACTTGGTGGAGGAATGTTGTGACGAGGTGGGAGTTGTGGACAGCCACGGGGACCTCGACGAGGATTTCGGAGTACTTAAGACCGGATTTGAGGAGACTGTTTGCCAACCCGTTAGCATTGGGGCTCATTCAAGGATTAGCAAGATATGGGACATTACTTGTCAGTCGTGAATTTGTTCTCCTTGTACGCCGTCATGAATTGCGGGGATAGTCTGAATGCACGAATGCTCAGGATTCCTTGAGAGCTGCGACTGACATCATGCACCAGCGCCACAGTCTTCTCATTCAATTCCTTTTGATAGTGGTACTGATTCTCAATGAAATTCGCGTTGACAAAATTGCCCAGGTTTGCGCTCGTGTACCACCCCACATTATTTGCGTCGACATTAACCTCACGAAGCATACGAATCATCTCTGCTTGGTAGGCGGTGTTGGCCTTTGCGCGAGGGGCCGAGGCGGCGGCGTTGAAGTGTTGCGGTTGGTTGTCGAATTGCGCCTCGGGTGGCAGGTCAACGACAGGGAAGGGAAATGTGTTGGTCACCTCGAGGGTGCCTTCGTTGTTGTCCATACCAACGAGAGAGCCTGTTGCGACGGTGGGAAAGCGGCTTGCGCAGTGTTTGATCACCTTCATGACGACCTTTTCATCCAATCAGTAAGTTTCGAGGCAAGAGTGGAAAATTGCACTTGCCAGCGCCTCGAGCTGGACCGCCTTCACCGGCGTCTCTTTCCTGGATTGTTGTCAATAATCTGAGCGGCTTTAGAGGGGTGTATAAGTATACGTACTCCGCTATGGACGCCATGACTGCAGGCCGTTTGATGTAGGTTGGAATGGGATGAGTTCTGCCAGAGATCTTTGTGTGGAGGGACATTTTGGCGGCGGAGATGACAGAGGGGGAAAGTGAAGCGAGTCACGTGGGTTTGTGAATCCCACTTCACGTCTGTCGGCTGGCGTCTTCTATGTGGGCGATGGGAATTTCTATGTACCTAGGTATGTGATATACTGGCAGATGGGGGCGAATAGGTGTCAGAGAGTTTGCTATTGATTTCAACCCGAGCTTGATGGCCATGGCGCAACCAAATATCCAATCTCCATCACCAGGCTGGGCCACAGCCTTGTGTCGGAGAAATCTCCACGGAGCCCAAGCAGCTCAATGACGTTGGCCGTTCTCTCCAAAATTATTTTGTCCACCAATTGAGGATCCTTGGTCGACCACCCAATTCACTTTCACTGTCATAATCTTGTCCATAGATCGCAGCCTGTTGCTGTGCACGCCTATTCCATGTCTAATAATACCAGTCTTGATATTTGGTTTGTGAGTTGCTCCAGATCGAGCTCAAATTCTGTCATCTAACATGCTACACAGGCTGGTGCATTTGCTGCGTTTACTGTCGATCTGCTCGTCTATCCTCTGGACACTCTCAAGACACGTCTCCAATCGCAACACTACGAACAGCTATACAAAGATGCTAGTGGCAAAACGAAGCCTTCTTTATTCCGCGGCCTCTACCAGGGCGTCGGTTCCATCATCCTTATTACCATTCCTTCGTCTGGCGCATTCTTTACAACCTATGAAGCCTTGAAATACGGTATCTCGGAAGCGGTTCCTCCGAACTCGACGATATTTCTTCCTCAACCTGCCATCCATGCTGCGGCAAGCGGCGGTGCTGAACTTGTCAGCTGCGCCATCCTGACTCCGGCAGAGGTCCTTAAGCAAAATGCTCAGATGCTTAGTGCTCGAGGAAAGAGAACATCTACTTCCTGGGAAGTTTTCAAACATTTTAGAAAGAATCCTTCAAGATTATGGAGAGGATACACTGCGCTGGCCGCGAGGAACCTGCCCTTTACTGCTCTTCAATTTCCCACGTTTGAATTTCTGAAAGGATATTACATGCAAAGACGGAAAGCTCGAAATGGTGGGAAACCAGTCGACGGAATAGCTGAGCGCGCACGTATCACAGCGATGAGTGCCGCTATTGCCGGAAGCGGAGCTGCGTGGATCACAACTCCAATCGACGTTGTCAAGACCAGAATCATGCTCGCTGCAGGATCTGGTGATGATGGCCCAAGGACAGAGTCCAAGGGCAAAGCTTCCAAGTTTCTCATGGAAGGCGTTCAAGGGTCGCGCAAAAGCGGACTCATCGTGGCCAGAGACATACTCAAGAGCGAAGGCGTTCGAGGCCTCTTCCGGGGCGCTCTCCTCAGAGCTTGCTGGACCTCTCTTGGCAGCGGTCTATACTTGGGTTGTTATGAGGGTGGCCGTTTCTATCTGGAGAAGCACAGGAAAGACGCAAAAGAAGGCGACCACATTATGCAGCGTGACTGGTCGAAGGTCAAAGTGGGCATCGGAAACTCCAGATCTCAGGAGGTGGTGAAAAAGAGTGCGTGGCAGGAAGACTGACCCATCAGACTCAGCGGAACGACCTTCGCACTATTCGAGATTGTTGCTCATTCGGCTAAGCCTGGTCATCTCGTGCTACCACGTGTGATCAGACACACCAACGGATATCCTGCGTGAGTAGAATTGACTATGAGATCGCCAAGTTAAACATCAGTCTGAGCTCAACTACTCTGGAATCCTCTCAAAGACCGAGACACTCAGCGAGGCGAACGACTACGGCAAGACACGACCGGACGATGAATAAGCCGAATGTTTGTGCGCCTTTTTGGGAGCATTTCCAAGATCGGACAGGTGTCTGGATTCGGCAACCTTTTCTCAAACGGCCGTGATGTCTAGCCGGGAATTAGTCATCCCTCCTTCTGTCTGGGCACGCCTGAATGAATGCCAGTCTTGGTTATACCAAAAACCGAATGGGGAAAGAAACGTGACTCGACTCCAGGAGTGAGGCCGTAATTGGCCGGTACGTCGGTCACAACTTAGCTTTCAACCTCACACCTGGATAAGTCAGCGAACCCAGGGTATGTGGCTTCTCTCGCGTTATCAATTCATCTCGAGGTGGTTCTACCTCGCAGAAGATGACAGCTATTGCGTCAACTGCGTTTTGGGCGCAGCGAAAGGTTCAAATACGGCGCTTTTCTTCCTGGGCTTTCGATATGGCCACTTCAATTCAATTTGAGGATACTGAAAGTATCAATATCTAGCACACCATAACACCTATACCAAACATGGCAGACATTTCAGTCCTCCTGATCGGTGCAAGCGGCGCTCTAGGAAAGCCTCTCATGGATGAACTTGTCCGCCAAAGAGACCAATTCCAGCGCATTGCCATTCTCGCAACCCCCGAAAGAGCCACTAAATTCAGCAATTCCGATGTCGAAGTTGTCATTGGATCATTCTATGAGGCAACATCATATCAAGGTCCGGATAAGGCAGTTCAACCTTCCAAACCATGACTGTATTTTGACCATTTGCGCAGGCTTCACGCACGTCATATCTGCAGTTGGCAATCCCCTGATGGTCTTGCAACCTGCTATGGTTGAGGTTGCCGTCTCCGCTGGCGTAAAGCATTGGTACGCCTCAGAATGGAACAGCGATATCTCCCAGCGCCAGATTCAAGACTTGCGTTACTTTCGCGACAAGCAAGCTGTAAGGGCCTATTTACGTGGCAAGGCCGCCCACGCACCTGGTTTCCAATATACCCTCATGGTCACGGGTATTTTTACAGAGTGGGCGCTGGACGAGTTCTACGGGTTTGACCATCAGAAGCTCACAGCAAGATTGCATGGTCAACCTGGTAAGAGGATTGGTGTAACGAGTATCCCCGACATCGCGCAGCACACCATTGATTCGCTACGAATTCCCTTCGACGGTCCAGGGCGCACACTGCGGGTGCAAGGCTGGACAGGCAAAATTGAAGATCTGATCGCCGAATTGGAGCAGACCAGAGGGGTTAAGTACCAAATCACCTGGGTGGATGTCTCTGAGGCGAAGGAACTGGAAGAACAAGCCAGGGTGAACGAGGACGATTTTTCCGAGATGATGTTTAGCATCAAACCGTTGTTGGCCAGTGGATATGGTGTTGCGGACGGGGTTGGGAAGTTGGATAATGGCCTCTTTGACTTCAAGCAGGAGACGCCGAGAGAAACGTTTGCCCGTATCTTCAAGGCAACGAACTAGCTGGCAGTGAACTTGTTCTCGGGAGAGATTCAGATGACATTGGAGATATTAATAAAGATCACAACGCAAAGTTGCCGTCCTGAATCTCATCGGACGATCGATCGAGTTCGTCACGAAAGTCGTCTGGGTTGTTTTATCGTCTATGTCTTGGTCCGCTCATGGTGTCGAAAGCATTCAGGTCATCTCCACATCGCCATCTGCAGCCTTTGCAGCAGTATGGCTTTCCACCTCATTGTCGCCATCGGCTTCGATCTCGACATCTCCATCATCATCCTCGTCATCATCCTCGTCATCCTGCTCACCGACATCTTCCCATGCATCGTCCTCTTCCTCGTCCATCTCCCCTTCGACCCGCAACTCCTTCTTCAACCCATGGACCAACTCGACCGCATGCTCGCGGAGTCTCTCATCCTCGTATCCGAGCACGCGGTACAGCCTGAGGCAGTTCTCCAGCCATTGCCTCGCGGTCTCGAGGCACTTGCGCTTAGCTTCTGGAGAAATGGTGGTGTCTGGTTTCTGCGAGACGAGCACTTGGCACCAGCCGCCAAGGTACCAGCATTCAATGCTCTGGTCATCTTCGCGGACGAGGCCTTCCAGGACGGCCATGGCGAGGTGCTCGAGCTGGACCTCCATTAACAAACGGCTGAGGGAGACGCGGGTTGCGAAGTCAGGCTTTCGTCCGTCATTATCAGCCCCGACAACAACACTGCTGCTTTCTCCATCTTTGTTTTTCTCTTTGAGACCTGCTGCTTCTTCTTCTTCAGAGGCGGACGGGGCCGCGTCCTTCCAGATGTCGAGACTCCTCTTCAATGCCGTTCGGGCATCTTCTATCCGTTCTTGACTGATCCGCACGCTCGCCAAGGTCTGTAGCACTCCGGCACTCAGATGTTCCGGGCACACGGCCACGGCTTCGGTGACGAGGGACTCGCAGCGTGATTCGGCGTCATTCTCCCACGACAGATCAGTCATGTAGACCTCGGCCATAGCGCAGAGCGCATCCGCTAGCTTCGATTTCTTTTCGTCAAGCACCCTCTTTGTGCCTGTGTCCCCGTCTGACCCAGTAATATCCATCTCATTAGCCGCTTCTTCAAGGACGTCGATTTCGTTCCTGAGCACCTCACACGCGTGTTCGAAGTATCTGATACTCTCTGTCCCGCCTTCTTCACATAGCTGCGCGAGCCAAAGCCACGGTTCCGCGGATATGAGTGCCCCGTCTTCATCAATCCGTGTTGCGCGTGTGAAATTCCTTCGCGCCGACACGACATCTCCCAGTGCAACCTGGATTTCGGCATTCAGCGTAAGGACAGAGGGCAGGGTCGGCACGCCCTGTGCAGCCAAAGCGAGGAGGTCGTCGATATCGAACTCATCGCCTTTGGAAGAACGCTGTTCTTGCCGTTCCACTTCAAGCCTTTTCAGTGCTTCTTCCGCAAGCGGGAGCGCAAGTTCTGGCTGCGACTGTTCAAGGAGTTCTGCGGCCTCGGTGAGGAGATCTTCGATCGATTTCTGCGACCTTTTGGGCGTGCTTTTCACGAGCGGGGAGGTTGTCGAGCGGAGGATGTCTTTTTGTTTCGAGTGTGTTTTTGTCTTGGTTTTGGCCATTTTGACAGAGCTTGCTCTCGCAACGATGGAGAAAACAAAGCCAGCAAGAAATTTTGGTGAGGGAGATCCTTCCAGTTGTAACTTTTTCAATGTGCAATTCACAAAACTTTTTGAAACACGGTTCCGCTGGGAAGGTTACCCGAATCACAGCCTTGTCATCTTTAAATGGTGCGATCCAACTAAGCCCTCAATCAACTTTCCTAGACGTTTTCGTTAGTAGTCCTACAACGAATTAAGAGCTATAAGACTATTCTACCTGATAGGCTCTCTAGATCACTAGAATACTAGCGATGTTGTTGATTGCGGAGCTACATAGCTCGTTAGTATTACTTAATAAATGAAGATTTTCCGAATTCAGCGAGTATCGAGGCCACGTGATTAAAACTATTCTATAATTGGTATAGCCCAGGACTGGTTAAGAGTAGTCCTGGCAAGGCTGAAGAGATTTTGTATCTCTTTCATGGAGTGCTCCTCGGCTGCCTGACTGGTCACAAGGAGTTCTTAAATCTCTTCTGATGCTGACCAAATCGCCACAGCAGTGTCTGGGATCATCACATCGATCACCATGTGGCAGAGTCCCAAAGCCAGGTCTGCCCGACCGTATTCATCATGCTAATGTCAGCGTCCAAGAGACCAATGTCATTGCCACCCGTTTGGACGTAAGAATTGTCAGCGTCGTACTGTGGCATGTTCTGCTCCATTCCGTCGTTAGCTAATCTCTCCGTATCCGGGCCAGACACTTCCGGAAACATTGCTTGTGCCAGTTGTCAGTTTCAAACGAACAAAATGAGACGAAGGTAGTAGTAGTCCCTACCTTGTTGCATGATCAGTAATCCATTATTGAAATCTATGTTCTCGAAGCCGGAGAAGTCGAAATCGTCCATCGAAGTCCCAACTCGGCCAATTGTGAAGGGAGCGGATTCGTCATCTATTCGCGTCGTAGTTTGGTTCGGAGCAACCTCGTCAGGGTATTCCGGATCTCCGGAGGCAGGACCAGTTGTAGCGTAGGAGGAGCCTGCCATTTCTCTAGATCTTAAACCGGCCGACATGGCCACGTTTTGTGAGGATTCGGATTCTGAAAGCATCGCCTTAATCTCCTTCTCTCCAATCAGTCGAACAAGGTCCTTCAAAATCTTTGACGTTTGCGCAGAGAGAAGAGCCCTGCCTGATAAGAATCGCGAAAGTGACATGATCCGAGCAACAGCCTGTTTAGCCATTTGCGCCTCCGAGGACAGGGGTCGTGAAAGAGCCACGACACACAGGACCATGCCAGCCGTGAAAAGGTTGATCCCGAGAAATGCGGCGGCGTGACTATCTCGTGCAGATATCAAGCACTGGCGATACTGGCCAAGCTTGGATGACCTGATTGCAGACTCCCAGCAATTGTCTCTACTGGCAAGTAGAATTTCATGGACATGTCTATGCGACAGTTTGGTGTCATTAGCAAAGTCGATCTGTCCGATGGAGTAAGTCGACCCCTGAGGTCCGGACGTGGCTGCTTCTGTCTTGAAGTTTCGCAGATCTTGAGAGAGTAACGGGCGGTGTAAAAGGATCTGTACATTATCGTACGCAATTTGGAGAGCCAGCGCCTGAAGCATAAAAGGCCGGCTATTAGTAGTCACAGGTTCGGTGGTATTTCGACACAGATCTTCCAATTTCAGCTCTGGCGGTAAAGCGCTGAAGAAGTTGGACAGCTCTTTGTCGATTCGATAGACTTTGAGTGCCAGCTCCGACACACTAGAACTTCGATGAAAATACAAGTCACTGATGATAGGCGAAGATATCTGGTACAACTTGATTTTGTACTTCAAGTAGGCAAACGTGGTGACTGGTTCCACGGTTCCATCCGGCATGGTTGCAGTCGAGCGGAAGGACGGATGCTGGACGGTGGTGTCGCCAATATTCTCTGGTGTCTTGATATCAATTTCGCCAACTGGAATGCCACAGGGCCGACCAAATATTGTAGCAGCAAATCTAAAATGATTTCAGTTGAAGCCCAGGCTGTCCAAATCACCTTCTTACCGATCAAAAATAAAAAGAGCCCAAAAGACCCGTCTGCGCTCCTCTTTTGCAATTTCTGACAAACCCCGCCAGGCGGATTCTCTATGCAGCAGCATGAGTTGGGCACATCTGAGTCCGGCACCTAGAATAACAAATGCAAGGTTGGGGCGACCATGATAGACATAGTATGACCCAAGAAGGACACACACTTGGACAGATTCGAGTTCCGCAGCATCGTACAAAGAGTGCAAGCTATCTTCAACCTTTTTGAGAGAGAGCTTTCGGAATGTCTCCAGCTGGAAGGTAGGAAATTTTTGTTGCACATCGTCATCCGAAGCGTAATGTGCGCCTATGGAGAGTACCAGGAGGATGAAGATCACCTGGTTCGACCGGGCCCGCGAAAATCTCCTCGAAGCCATCAGCCGCTCATAGGACGATCGAAACGTTGGCTCATGAAAAAGCATCATAAACCAATGGACGGCGTCGAGATAGGCGTTCAGGAAATAGTCTGTCACTCGTTTCGAAGGCAATTCGAGGCCCAGCAGCTGTTCCATTGTAATATCATCCTGTGATGTTCCGAACACCCCTTGAGAACTACCCACACCGCCGGGGAGCGCAGAGGTAGAGCTCTCAAGGACGATCTCAGGGCTGAAGTTGTCAATGATCTGGGGTCGCTATCAGCCGCGTGATCCACACCAAATTTCGACGAACCGACCTCCTGTGTCAGTCCTGCTGAAGAAATCCTCTGATTGTAGGCTTCAGGATCTGTTGCCGAAAGTCGGTCAAGGCTAACTGGCGCCTTGACTTTCGCCGGACTATTTGTTTGTTGGCCAGGAGTAGAGCCATTCTCTTGCTCTTCGCCATGGCTGAATCGTGACTGTGGTGAGGCGCTGGTGGCATGAAGAGATGCTGGAGGGACAACTCCGTTTTGTTTCTCGCTTTCGCCATTATCGGCATCCGGGGAATGGAGTCCTGACGCTTTCTTGCGCCTGAATTCGAATAGCTCTTTCTTAGCTCACGAGGATATTGTTTTCTGGAAAGTCCACAAGGAGAGATATGCGCTACCAACCTTTGCCTAGACTCGGAAATACAAGGAACCTCGGACCTCAAGCACAACGAACAAGGTCGCTCTTGATCACACTGGCCATCGATTTCGGTCAGCGATGTATCGCGAGCAGCAGCGCGCGCTCAACCCACCTTCAGTTTCTGTCTCCTGCATCTCTGGCAAGCTGATTGCACACGAGACCGGCGCTTTGCTCTTGGGACCGAAAAGAGTTGTTGTGGCCATTCCGTTTCTGTGTCCATGGCTAGCTGTCCATTTCCGTAAAGGACATTCACAAGATACGTAAGTATCGGAGTTGACTTTGGGTAAGGCCATGAATTGGGGCCGCTAGAGCAAGATGTGTGTTGAGCTGGACCTCATTGTCGGGGGTTAGAGACTCTGCGATATGGGAATTGCCACTCACCAAGCCTCCTAGCACTCTGCCCCCCGTGATAGAGGCCGCGAGGCACAGGAAGGGCTGGAGATTACTAAGGATCGGGGTTAAGGGGGCGCCACGCACACAGCCCGGGGGAACGGGGGATGCTCGGTGGGTGAGTCCAGCAATCCAGTAGTAACTTGGAGCCCCCGGAGGCTAGCGTTACTACGCCTAAAGAGTCGGGCCAGTTCTTGGCCAGTTGACCTGAGCAGCTGAACATGCTTAGTGGCAACCACCAAGAGCATGTGGGCTGATACGAACATGGGCTGAGAATCTACATTTGCATATACAGGTATGTAGACCAGAGCTTGATGCCCTCAAGGCTCCGACATGGAGAGCGAGCTGAGTGAAAATGAATCTGCTAAAAGGTCTGCTTCCTGAGAACAACATTGCCAGAGTGCCCAACCAAGGTGAGCCTGTACCAGAGAATCGTGCATTTACAGTGTGCCTATGCCAAGGGATATTGATACACGTCCTAATTTATGCATACCCTCTTCTCCGTCGTCCCTGGTTTCTGGGACGTTGAGTAACCACAAGAGGATTGACTTTGTGCTTGTCTCGCGTCTTGTAGCCAGATTTCGCCTGATGATGGGTCAGCATTGTCGAACAAAGACTGTGAAAGAAGAAGACTTACAGGGACTCCCCACGGGCTCACAGGGATGCGATTACCCTTGGATTTACCTCGACCGCCACCGTGCGGATGATCTGCTGCGTTCATGGCCACACCTCGCACAGTTGGTCGAATGTTGAGCCATCGCGATCGACCCGCCTTCCCCAGCGACGTATATTTGAAGTTGACATTGCTTGCAACCCCGATAGTTGCCACAGCATCTTTGTCAATGAGTCGAACCTCGCCGCTGGAAAGGCGTACTGTAACATAGTTGGCCGCTTTCTCGAACTTCCTCAACTGATCCACGCTCAGCGTGGACAAGTCCATGCCGCCGTTGTCACCAATCAACTTCATCATCTCTTTCTGCACCGTATCCTCTCCCTTGCCGATGATAATCCCATGTGTTCCTGCGCTTCGGCAGATCTTCCCAATGTCGCCTTTCGTCGGAGTGATGTTGAATATCGGAGTACCAACAGGGATCATGCCTAACTGCAGACAATTGCCCCTGTGAGCTGTTTTGGACGCTAGGACACCCTGGTCGATATGTCCGCCCATTTCGTCGATCAGCGACTGTGGCAATCCTGACCGGTAGCTCTCAACTGTGTCCCCGGCTCGCAGTCCCTCTGCCGCTAGAATGTAACTCCGCTCCTCGGTCTGGAGGTTCTTGATAAGGGCAATATGCGCAGTACGGCCCGGGTCATGCTCGATTCGCTCGACGAGATGCTTTCCGCCAGTACGCCTCGCAAAATCAACAATTCGTATCCTCCTCTTATGTCCACCTCCACGGTGTCGGACCACTACATGGCCGGTATGATTTCGGCCTCCTTTCCCATGGCCCTTTTTGGGAAACGTGAGGGGAAAATGCGGTCGGCCTTTCCATAAATGTTCGTTCAACGGACGGACCAGATGGCGTATGCCCGGCGTTCGAGGAGTGTATCGCCGCAGCCGTACTTCAAATTTGGAGAGTGATGTTCGATCGTCAGCTTGAGCGAGGGGGAGGTCGGTCAGGGAAGCTTCTGGGACTGAGCCGCTCGTGCGCACAGGGTCGATGGCTTGCACCTGCGCGTAGGTCCTGCGCAAACTAGGGGATGAAAGTTGACATTTTTGGCATAGTGACCGGAAAGGTATCCGCGGCTGAAGCATTTTGATAGAAGACAAGGTCGGGCGTTAAATTCGCGTTGACGAATACATTGTCTTATAGCGATGTTCGAGGGGACTTGTGCATTGAGTGTCTCAGAGCTCCGAGCCAATTTTCAACAGCATAGGTGGAGCAAGTCAAGAACAAGGCTGACCAGTCGGCAAACATTCCTGCTCGAGGCTGACATTCAAAGGGGACTAGCGCAGCCTTGTCCACTATCTTCCTCTCACTGTGATCACACCTTCACAGAGAGGCTTTCTCTAGTCTAATTCTCTTCTTCTTCCTTGAAACTCTTCGCCTCCATGATTCACTCTACTTATTTGCCATCCTTTGACTGCCGTGGTCAACTAAAATTTGTGTGAAGCTGACATGGACCCCGACATAGATCAACCCTAGAGTACGTCACTGACGTCGAAGGTTGCGCGACGCGACGTTGACAATATCATAGATTGGATAGAAATTGGCAAGGACGCGCCTCATGTACATGCTGGCTATTCGGAGGACAAAAGTGGTTCTCAACGGCACAAGTCTTCAACTGTCAAACGACACACCAGAGTGCGATATTCCGAAGGTGTCAGTCCATATCCCAAGTCATCGTTCATCGCTGTCGTCAGACAGAAAACCTCTGGTGTTTTGAAGCAAGCTCTGGAATGGCCACAGTCTCGGTTTCTGAACTGGCTAGCAGCCAGAGACTCGAAAGAGTGGACAAATGTTGTGGGCTTCGACACCACTATCGTCAAAAATGGCTCGCTGACGTCGATGGCCAACCTCTTTGGACAGCTGGCAGTTTCGGAGAGTGATCAGCAAACGCAGGTCTCTGAAAAAGGTGAACGTATGTCAATGCACCCTGTTTAGATGAGCACTCTCAAGTTTTGCAGATCCTTCAGTTGTTGGTGATCAAGTCAGAGACTCACCATCGGGAGGCAGACTGATAACTGGTAGCTTCTAACGAACTGAACCCCTCGATCCAACTCTTCAATCCGCTCAAACGCCGATTTAGACAGTTAAGCCACACCAGACAATAACCCACAGCCAGCATGCGTCCCTTCACAGTCAGCAACAGGGACTCACAAATACCCCTAGGTCTGTACAGCTCTTCCACATGGCCACCTTAGGGACCTTTGAGACGCGCCCCCAGTACTGACCAAAAGAAGCATGCCGACTTTCCAGCCGAGCCAATGTCAGCAATACAGTCTCAGCGGTATTAAGGCCCACGGGAGGAGCAGGATTTGACGCTTGAGATACTCACCCTTCTATCTAGGATATTGCTCGCGTGGCATCAAGTGTCTCCACGTCCACGACCCAATCAAGGTCTCTTTATGCCCCTCTGTCCTGCAAAACCGGCATTGTCTCCGAGGCATGAACTGGAACCTCAGCCATGTCCCTACCTCAAAGACCACACCAACGTGCACTTTTTTCCTTGCTAGAAGATGCGATCGATCCAATTGTCCCTTTTCCCACGCTCAGGTGGAGCCTTGGGCAGCCGCATGTTCGGACTTTGCACTTTTTGGCTGGTGCGAGAGAGGCGCAAGTTGTCGATATCGTCATCTCCGCCAGTGCCGTGAGTATGCTAGATTTGCTATCTGTTACAATACCCAATGTCTGCACACTCATATTGATCCAGCAGACGTTAGTGAGATTGCATTGCCGTCGAGCAATTCTGGTATTCAGACACCTTCCAATCTTGCGGGACCTCAAGCAAAGGCAAAATCCAGTGGACCCGATTCCATCACTCCCATGATCCCTGATTATGACAATGATAATGACGTGGGACCCATGGAGAAAGAGCAAACTTTCAGCAAACAAGACGGCTTTATCCCATTGTAGGGGGGTTCTTTTTTGGGGCAGTCAGCGACTGTTCAACTGCAGCATGGAAGAGATCGAAAATTGTTAGATGTAAGGGCGCTACCAGGAGGAAAGTAATGACAGTCAGAAAATGGTGTTGACAGGACAACAAGGACAACCAAGTGCATCAGGAGCAGACAGGAGCAATAGGGTGGATTTTGACGTGACGGCTCGAACTGTTACTCAATCATAGGGTTGATGGTGCTAGTTACCACATGCTGCGCCTATTTCAGCGAATCAATGCAGAAGAAACTAAATCAACAACAACCTGATTTGCAACTCTTTGAATAGAGACCCTGATGTTAGTCCAGAATCGTCGGCAGCAGCGCCTTGAAGTCGAACCAATGCGACTGGTACGGAGTACGGACTGAGGAGTGATTCATATTAAACACATCGACAGAGGCTGTTCTCTTCGAGGATGCACCAGACCTAAACAGGCTAGTCACGCTTGACCCCCGATCTCGACTCTCCGCAGTATCACCATTTCTAGTTCTGGTGCGAGCATTACCTCGCAGGCATGCACTGACATCGCAGTCCACTTCCAATTGCGTCTTCACTGCACAAGCTGCAAGTACACCGGCCGGGCCCGTACAGCATTCTCAAAGGGCCGCCATGGGCGCCAGAAAGCTCCTCACTGCCCCCTCCCACTACAGCTTCTCGCAGCTTCACAGCCTCCCGCTCTCGCTCCGGCACTCGATACGACACACGCACCAAGCTCGCGATTCCCTCTCCTCGATCTCCTACGCCCCCAGACTCAGTAGTGGTGTATACCGCGCGCTGTCATACTCATCCTCGACGTCAGCCTCCCCTCCTTCTCCGCAACGCATCGACGCCGACCGAATCGTGCGCCCCCTCGTGCCTCCACCGCGCGAAGGCTCAGGCCCGCTTCTCGCCCGCCGTCCCGACCGAGCCCTGCCTGACCTGCCGCGGCCGATATCAGTTTGGCTCAAGACACTGCCTGTGTTCATCGTGCTCGTGACCATCACCTCGCTCGCCATCTTCAACTACGAAAAGTCCTCCTCGTCGACCGTTAACTCGATCCTCTACGCCCTGCGCACCAACGACCACGCTCGCGAGCTGCTGGGCGACGAGATCTACTTCGCGAGCAAAATGCCCTGGATCAGCGGCGAATTGTCGCCCATGCAGGGCACGATTGACATCAGCTTTTGGGTCAAGGGGACAAAGGGAAAGGCAAAGACAAAGTTTGTCAGTCTGCGGCGGTCCCGGGGCGGGTATTTCGAGACGTTGGAGTGGAGTTTACAAATGGAGGATGGAACCGTAGTCCAGTTATTGGAGAAGGAGGGAACAAGAGATCCCTTGGAGGGGCAGAGGTTTGATTGATCGCGGACCGGAACAGGATGGGAAGAGGTAGAATCGGAAATGGTGTTTTTGTACATTAACTTATACCTGCCACATGAAGAAGGGAAAGGAAGCCTTTTTGTCGACCCCAGAAAATGAGATGAGTGAAGGGGGTGAAATCTCCTCCCAAAACAACGAACGATATGTCCCTCCATCTCAATCGCCCGGTTTGACATTTGATCCCTTGGTATTGATACCCGCCCCTGCACCGACAGCTTTTCGATGTGGCATCTTTCCGATATTCCAACCCCATGATCTCAATGTCTTGACAACCTTGGGTAGGACTGCAGCTGTGAGAGGAACTCGAATAAAGATGAAAGATTTGTGGACCGCATACGCGAGCGCAAGTTGGGTCCATATACCTGGCGAGTGGGAAAAAAACCCATCGTGTTAGCTTCTCTCGCTCGAGTGTTTCGTTGGTGGAAGGCACAAGGAAATGGGAGAGGGGGGGGAAGAAGCAGAGAGAGGCCACGTACTAGCATCCTCGCCCTGATTCGCTTTCTGTGCAGCTTTATACCCATGATCATTCGTCTCCTCTTCTTGTTCTAGGATCCTCCCTCCCTGAGCGCCGTGCTGCTCGAGCTCCTTCACTTCGGTGGCCTCATTGATGGCTCCATCAGCGGGAATCTCTGCCTTCTGGGACCCCTGAAGCGGCCACTTGACGATCGCTTTGAAGGTCTCGACCACGACGTGCTCGTAGTGCCCGATGGTCTCGGTCCCCATCATGCGCACCGCGAGGAAGCAGAAGGGGAAATCCAGCGCCGACAGCGCGAGGTAGACGCCCACCGCCGTCCAGCCGTATTCCCGGGACATGGTCTTCAGGCGCTCCTTGAGGGATGGTTTCTGGTTCGCGGTGGAACCGGAAGTCGAGTTGGAAGTCGAGTTGTTACGTCGGCCGACGACATTATTTCGCCGTAGAGGTTGCTTTCTCGCTGCTCGGAACGCTTGAACAGATGGGGAAGAGGAGGTGCCCATAGCTCGCTGGGTATGTGTAGACCGTCTCAAAAAAGCTCGTTGAGCTTCTAGGAATGGTCTTGTGCGGAACGATTGCTGCAGAGGAGCTCGACTCTGGTGCATGGCACGGCGCAGGGCAGGCGAACGCACCTCGAAGAAGAGCTGTCGCAGGGCAGCACTGCACTGGAATACGCGCATGCTCTCCATGGCCTGAACGCTCAGGATCCACGAGAGTTGCGGAGAAGAAAAAGTATTGAGAATGTGAAATATGTCAGATTTCGAAACAAAAACGATGAATTTCGGAGCCTTGTCCCGTCGATGTCACTTTCGCCTCGCTCGGGATTGGTGACCCGAAAACTCCGAACTTTACAGCCTTGCCAGCCTTGCCAGCCTTGCTCACCACAGGAGAAAAGGGGGCGGAGAGTCTCGGCAGGAATATGAACTCTGCCGTCACATTGTTAGGCAGAGACACGGTCTGAGTTCGTTTTCGTCTCGTCTTAGTGTACAATAGAGCCCAGCAACACTACATGATACTCTCGCCTCAGCTCATTGTACATCCGATGCGTCCCTCGTCAAAGTCATTTCAGTACGAGATACTCGAAGTCAATTCTCTCCGACCTCCAAAAACCACTCGCAAAGCCACGACAGTCCTCGAACATACAACCAGCACTCTGTAGCCCCAATATCAGATTCTTCCACCTTCGCACAGAAGCCTTCTTCTGGACATGCTTCCATCCCAGCTTGGTATACAACCATAATCAAGAGGATTTCCGTGGCCTTCCCCGCCTTTTTTGGCCTGTGTCAGCATGGCCAGGCTTTGAAGCCCCAGCTCGACTCGCGCTCGCCGCCCCGCTATTAACGGCAGCCCAGGCCTGGCCTGGCCTACGGACCTCCATCTCATCGTCCGAATCATCACTGTCCAGCCACTCCGAAGCTGAGGCTTTCACGGTCGATACAATAGCGGACTTCGCTGCGGGCGGCGTGTGACTTGTCTGTTTGTCGTGCCTCATGACCTGCTTGGGAGGCGAAACAGCTTGCTGTTCAGGTAGCGCGACTTCCGTCTGCGCTGGGTTAGCGGCCTTATTGTCCGACTCAGGCTCGTTCTTGAATGAGTCCTGAGACCAAGCATCGTCCAGGTCTTCGCTTTCATTCTCCACCCACTCAATCGCTGCCATTTTTGCCCGTCGGTTCGCCTGTGCTTGTGCTGCAACCTTTGATTGACCTGGTTTGAACGCAGTTGAGGTCGACTTGGCAAGTTCCGATTTCTTAGGCGATGCTGATGAAACAGCCGAAACCGATCTTTCACCTCGCTCGGCTGGAGGGCTTGTGACCGATACAGGATGAACACTATGCGCCACAGTCAATTTGGAAGCTTTCATGGCTATTCGTGGCGCTGACTCGAGACCACTTGGTCCACCCTCAACAGGGGGGCTTGAAGCAGAGCTGTCATTTGCTGCTGATTCGTCATCCGAGGATACTGAAGAATCAAAATTTAGGTCGGCTTTGTCCAACCTGACTGCTTTCATTGTTGGCTTGTTCATGGAATTGGCACGCTCAGAAGAAGGCTCAGAAACAAGGTCACTGAACTCGTCTTCCGAAGGCTCTTCGTAATGAGTGTTGTGCATCCGGGTCTGCCTTCTGGTAACTTCTGCGTCAGGTGGCGGTCGAGGGGTTCCATCTGCGGCCCGTTTCCTGCGGTCACGGTATCGACCAGGCATGAACTCATCATCCTGTTCTACCGCAACATGCTCAACGCCTCGTCGAACCTTTTTGGGCACACTTTGAGGGTTTCCTTCAGCGGCATTGAGAGCTTGCAGATCAGAACTGATGACTGGTGCAGGAACTTCCAGTCCATTCAAGGCCTGTCGCGCTGCACGTGCCAACCTTTCCATTTCTTCGACTCTCTCGCTCGGGAGAGGCTGCTTCATAATGAGCGACTTCCGTGCCCCTTTCCTCTCACTGTTGGGCTTCTTGTAAGTGTAGGCGCGGTCACCATCATCAAGCTTCGCACGCTTGCGTTTACGCTCCACCATTTCAATGTTTGCCCTATCATCGGCGCCGGCAGGGGCATAACCAAGAGGCACGACTGTTTGCTCTTCTTCAACTGGGACAGGAATATGATGACCGATCTCTGGATCAGGGTAGTCGTATGTAATAGCTTCGGTTTGCTCGTAGGCATGCTCAACGTCTCGGATAACACCACCTTCAGGAAGAGCATATTGAGGCGCAGGAGCGTCACGAGGAGTCGATTCTTCTCCCATCTTCAATCCTTCTGGGTTTTCGTCGTATTCATCGTCGTCTTCTGCGGGAGACCCAGATGTAGCAGTCATTGCCAGTGCCGGATCAATCGGTATGCCTTCTTGTTCCGCCAGCCGAAGAATACCATCTTCCACCCCGTCATTCATCTCTTGATCACCGTCAACATAGTGCTCACCCAGCTCAGGCCCCGTAGCTTTGGCTGCCTCTGCCTCTTTCCGTCGCTTCTGAAGGCGACGCGATTGATCGCCATAATCATCATCTGCCTTCTGAATCCAGCCAATGTTCGAAAAACTGAAGTCCACGAGACTCTCTACCGATCGGGGGTCTGCTATTGCCTTTGTGTTATGGCCAAGGATAGTGCTAGATGGCATGTAAGGCTTGTAACCGGGCTTAATCCTACACTGACGACAACCACACATGTTTTGACAGCTCGGACACAACCAGTTTGGATCTGCGAGGATATCCTGTGGCATCATGTCGAATCTTCGAAAAAGGGTGCCGTAGCAATAGCTTTTAGTGCATTGTGTACACGCGGCTTGTTTCCACTTGGGTTCCCAGTGGAAGTCAACATGGCATCGAGCATGCTTCCTTAGAAAATTGTCGGTTCGCTTGATCTTCTTCCTTTTCTTGAGATTGCCATTTGCGTCCACCTCCTCCACTTCTTCGCGATCGTCACCTGTTACAGGAGACGGCGGACGTCGGATGTCACGAAACGGCCTCCTTTCCAACTCAAGCTGACAGATCTGCGCCAGGGTCCTTTTGTTCCCGAGCCTATTCAGTTCAACCTTGAGCGACATGGGCGATTTCTCAGTCACGTTGGCTTCATATTGCAGGATCTGATGTCGCCATTGTTCGTGCTTTTGCACCAGTTCTCCCCAAGGCCACTGTTCAACCCACCTCAATTTCGATATGCACGCGCAGCTTCTGCCCATTGCGTAACACTCCATGCAGATGTCGTACGTGTCTTCTTCGCCGTTCGCCAGTTTCTCTACGCAGGTGGGACATGTGAGAAACCTGTTGAAGATATTGCAGCGGCAATATGAACAAGTAATGTTGCTGTCATAAGGGATATACTCGATCTTCTTCTCGGCGCGATCAGGGAGGAAGCTTTCTGACACCAATATTTCAGTGAACAGAACCTGCAGTCTGCGAAAATCCTTTTCTAGTTGCCGGACTTTCGCGTCATAAGGCGACTTGTGTTTGAGCCCTATGGATTTCTGCCTGAATTTCTCTGCCTGTCGAAGGAGTTTTGAGTACTTCTGCATGGTGTAGTAAATGATTGCCTTGTTTTTGTACTGTTCATCGCGGCACACCATCCTTGCTCGTGGCAGAGCTTCATGCATTGCCATTTCAAGAGTTTCAACGGTTGTTCTGTTCCAGGCGACTTTCATAGTTCTAGTACCACGGTTCCACACCTGGTGAGGAGCCAATGGAGGAATAAGGACAAAGTCGCCGGGCTTCTGTTCGACAACATACGTCTTGAATGGTGCGTTCTTCCACGCATTGACCTGTGCGAAATGGCTTTCGATCTCAATGTCATGGCCAAGGCGGGAAAGCCAGTACTCAGCAACCACTTCGCGTTCTTTGCTTTCGGTCATGAACCAGATCGAAGAACCCGGCTTCGTAAGTTTGCCATCTTCAGCTAGGCCGGTAGAAGCTTCGACCATAATGTTCTGACCAAGACTTGCGCACATCTCTCGGTGGGCGGGCGTATAGGTGCCCTCGTGGCCGATATAGCACATGAGATTTTCTGCGCGCATTTCCTTTGGAAGGCTGCTCATCAGATCTCCAGCTCTGGCAATCCCCCTACCTTTCCTCGTACCCGGTCTCATAGGGTCGTTTTCGTCCACGGCTCCAAATCCACCAACATCACCTGTTGTTTCGTTGAGATAGAACACGCCGGGAGGAATGATTTCGGACAGTTTGTCTTGCCAGAGCTGCGGACAATCAATATCTTTGAGATACATTCGCTGACGTTCGGGGTCCTTGTAGTTCCGCGGAGTCCACTGATTTGTCAATAACGCCATGTTGTTCAAATAATGGCCGATGGACAAGGGGACGTTGGCCTTCTTGGTGAGATCTCGCGCACTCTCGACTAAACACGGCTGTTAGCACACGATATGCCAGGCTAATGCAGTTACAGGACCATACCTTTTGAACCGCAGTTGTCGCGAAGCCACTGTAATGCGAATGTCCATTTGTCCAATCGCCCTTCATAGCCCTCGATGACGAGAGGCTTGCCGCCCAGAATGACATGAACGAGAACCAACTTTTCAAAAATTTCCAGGCCCTGGTGATCTATCATGTCGCAGTGGATGCGCACGACCCACTCGAAATTGGGCTGGGACTCGACAAGGGCGTTCAAATCGAAGTCCGGCGAAATGGGCTCGAAGGCCGCGCAGGGTCGTGTGGACGGCATGGTAAGCAAGCTTCAAGGAGAGCGCAATTACCCTTGCTCAGTTGTAAAACCTTCTCTTCCACAAAAATGATGCGGAGGTAAAGAGCATCTTCTTGCCCGAGGCGGCAGCGCAGCGTGAAACGGGAAATGCACTTGGTATGGTTGATCAGTCTCCGGCGTACCCGATCGATGTGAATTGCGGCCGCCGTGGGTTTCAGAGAAATGAGTTTTGTGGAAAGAGTGAGAGAGCATTGAGCGGAATGTGAAGGGAGGCCGCAGGCACAAGTGGCCTCGTCCAGGCAAAAAGTGCGACATTGCAATAGCGACGCGCAGCAGGAAATGGTCACAATGCGGAGAACGGCTGGCGAGGCTAGGCTATACCCAAAACGGACGGCGCGACCTGAACCCTTCTCAGCCTTGCTATAGAACTCTCAAAAGTCTTTCCCGAAATTACAGCTGAAGCCGACTAGAACATGTTTTGGACATTGAGGCCAGCGCATGCAAAGGTTTTTTGCCAGGCCTCTCGGTTCTCCTGCCAGGCTTTCATTTCCGGCCGTGGCTTCCGACGGCACCAGGAGAGGATCTTCCATCATGAAACGGCTTACCGAAGACGAAGACACATACCAACAGCAACGGTTTGCTTCCCAAACCATGAGCGACACCTATCCACCCCAGCCTCGCCCTCCACATTCAGTCAGGATCTTCCCACAACCTACAGACCTCCCAGCACAGGCATCGTATCCAAACTGCCTTCATCATGGATTCCTTATGCCGAACTGATCCGGCTCGACAAACCCGCGGGGACGTACTATCTCTTCTTCCCCTGCATGTTTTCGACACTTCTTGCAGCGCCCATGGCCTTGCCAATGGCGTCACCGCTCGAGGTGATCTCTACGACAGCACTTTTCTTCACCGGCGCGTTGATCATGCGGGGTGCCGGCTGTACAATTAATGATCTCTGGGACCGCAACTTGGATCCACATGTCGAACGAACACGACTACGGCCCATTGCGCGGAAGGCTATTTCTGTTGAAAACGCCATTGTATATCTAGGCGCACAACTTCTCACTGGGTTGACTCTGCTATTACAGTTTCCTCTACCGTGTCTCTACTATGGAGTTCCTAGCCTTCTTTTGGTCACTGTGTATCCTCTGGCAAAGCGAGTTACCCATTACCCTCAATTTGTTCTCGGCTTGACCTTTTCCTGGGGTGCCATAATGGGATTTCCGGCTCTAGGCATCGACCTTGTCTCCAATCCCGCCGCACTTGCGGCTGCGGCGGCATTATATTCGAGCTGTGTCGCATGGACCCTCAATTATGACATGATCTATGCCTACATGGACATCAAGGACGATGCTAAAGCAGGCATCAAGTCGATCGCCCAAGCACACGAGCACAATTCAAAGACTGCTCTGTCTGTCTTCTCTGCTGCTCAGATTGGACTTCTCGCCACTGCCGGGTACTTTGCTGGAGCTGGTCCGGTCTTTTTCATCGGAAGTTGTGGCGGTGGAGCTCTGGCTCTGGCAACCATGGTCCGACGGGTGAATCTGAAGGATGTCAAGGATTGTTGGTGGTGGTTTAAGAACGGAGCCTGGATCACCGGCGGAGTTATATCTCTCGGCTTGCTCGGAGACTATCTTCATCGGAGGGCCGAGGAGGAATGCACATCCACGACTCAGACCATTGGCGCATGATAGCACTTCCGGTCGTCACTGGCCGTTGACCTCATAAAAATCTTGAATACCCAGAGCCAAGTGCTCGTCAACGTAACTCACAATCTGTCTCCAGTCCATCATGGCGCCATCGCCCGTGTCGCCACAGGCCAACTCCTTCTCCGTGGGTCTCAAGATGGTAATCCAGCCGTCCTTATCGGCGCCCCAGTCCTCCTCAAGCACTTGGATGTGCTTTCTCGTGATCGGGTGACGCCACATGGCGGTGTTCATGGCCGGCGCGACAAATATCCTCTTCTTGCGCATGTCGATCATACCCGTGGTGTCCCACGCGCGGATGACATTCAGGAGCAGACCGTCGCTGATGCCGTTGACAATCTTCGCCATGGAGTTGGCCGACAACGGCGCCACGATCAGCACGTGCGCCCACCGCCTCAGTTCAATGTGCAAGATCTTGTCGCCCCGCACCCAGGGCTTCGCCCACTCGTCCTCTTCATGGTACACGCCATCCACGCCAGGATAGTCCAGGAGGGAGCGCAGCGGGGGTTGTTCGGCCGACTGGCCTTGCAGAAACTGCTCGGCGGCTTCTGTCAGGACGACACGGATGGACACGTTTGGGTGGGAACCGAGGGATCTGGCGATCAGGGGGATCTTTATCGCGGCGACAGAACCGCTCGCGGACAGCAGGATGTGGTGTTTACCGTCATTTTCATAGGTTGCGGCGGAGAAGCGCTCGCCGCTGCTTGTGGGGTTCGTGGTCATGGCGTTATGGGCTTTTTTATTTCGCGATATCTGTAAGAGGAGGAAGCCAAAGTCTTGAAGTCTACATTCCCTTTTCTTGTTGGGCGGGATTTAGATCCATTCGTGGATTTGTAAGGCGCACCACTTGAGGTCGGGGAGAGGAAATACAGTGTAAATCTGGGGAAAGAAGCGCAAGAAGCGAGATGTCAAGTGTCCATCGACCCATTTGTCAACATTTGACATCATCCGAGCCGCCACGCCGCCTCGCCGCCATCGACCAATTTTCTCCAACAAGTAATTCCAATTCGGGTACTCGTAGACTTCCACCTTCCTTCACCACACCCGCTCAAACTTCCCAAAATGCTGCAGAGAACGTTAAGAGCACCTGTAATCACCATTCCACCCTTCCATTCCAGCCAGAGGTACAGGAGAAGCTAACACAGCAAACAGGCCCTGCGCGGCGCCCTTGCCTCGCTCTCCCCATGCGCCACTCCAGCCTCCCTCCTCCCTCGCGTATCATCCTCTCTCGTACAGACGCGGCTCCTCTCCCAGGAAGTCCGCGCCGCGATCGACAGAGCCGTGGCGTCGGCACCCGTGGTGCTGTTCATGAAGGGCACACCAGAGACACCTCAGTGCGGATTCTCGCGAACGTCGATCCAGATATTGGGTCTACAGGGCGTGGATCCCAGGAAATTCACAGCCTTCAATGTCTTGGAAGATGAGGAGTTGAGGAGTGGTACGTGTTCTCTCCCAGTTTCTTTTGGGGGGGTTCGAGAGCACTTCAAATAACAGATGCGCCCCTTACATTTCCAAAACTCATGACGGTGTCTGTGCAAGCGATGACCAACGAGCTTTGTTTATGGACTGAAACTTGACGCAATGAAGGAAGGAAGGCAGGAAGCTAACCCGGTGTCTATATTTCCACAGGAATCAAAGAATACTCGGACTGGCCCACAATCCCCCAGCTATACGTCGACAAGGAATTCATCGGCGGCTGCGACATCCTGATCAACATGCACAAGGACGGCAGTTTGGCCGATTTACTGTCACAGAAGAAAGTCATTCTCACGGAAGACGGCGACGAGGATGTCGAGGGTCAGAAAGCACAGGAGGTGCGGGAGGAGACGGAGCAGAGCACTGGAGGCAGGTCGAAGGATGCAAAGGGAGAAAGTTCGTGAGGCGAGGCTCCAGGAGGGGACACGTGCATGTTTAATGGGACATGTTGCGAGGAGCTACGAGGTCCGGGTTCCATTTGCTCATCCTCCAAACAAAGCTCGAAGCAAAGAGTCTCAAGAGCACGTCGCCCTCCCGCTCTGGCCGGAGATTTGACAGTTCAGAAAGTTCAAGTCAAAATCATGTTGAAACGATACATGTCCGTTTCCAGGATGCATGAGCAAGAATATGTAGAAAAGATATATATAGGCCCAAATGTCATTCCATCAAGACAACCGTCATCATCTCGGGAGTTCTTTTTATCGTTTCCAAGCTCCTTTTCACTTTCAGCGTGCGCGCCAGTCCCAGTTCATTATCACCAACGAAAGCAGAGGCTAAAAGACAAGTGTTCAGCGCTCATTCATTCGCAGGCGCTCTCCTTCTCTTCTTCAACCACGACGCCCCACTCATGCTCGAGCCGCCCATACATGATATCCTTCAGCGCCTTCTTGACAGCCAGGGCAAAGCCCGCGGCTCCGGCTCCATTAGTCTTTGCGCCGTTCTCGTTCTCTTCATCCTGTCCCAGTCCCAGCGGCAAGACGAGATCCATGCCACGGAAATGGATATCCTGCACCGGAGCGATGAAGAAAGCCGTTCCTGCTCCAAACGCCTCGAGGAGTCTGCCTTCCTTCTGTGCGTCGAGGAGTTCGTGCATGGTGAAGTTCCTTTCTATGACGTCCACATCGCCGTCCCCGACGACTCCAGACCTGACGAGCTCCAGCACCGAAGCGCGCGTGACGCCCTCCAGGATAACTCCGTCTCCCAATGGTGCCGTTACTAGCTCCTTCCGTCCAGTATCCCGATTGTGCCACAAGACGAAGAAGTTAGACCCACCGGCTTCGGTGACGAAGCATTCGTTTCCAAACAACCACAGGATTTGATCGTACCCCCGGGCTCGCGCTTCTCCCTGCGCGACGAGCGAGGGTCCGTAGTTTGCCCCAACTTTCGCGTTGCCGAATCCGCCCGGCCAGGCTCGGATCATGTCATGTCGGGAGGCAAGGAGGCGCATGCCCTTTGCTGCGACATGTTTTGATTCGTTATTGCCGGCGCTGTGTCGAGCAGGGATAGATGGAGGTTTGCAACTTGGGTCGTCCAAAGACGGAAACATGACCATGATAATGTACATCATCGCCTCCTTTGGTCTCTGCACACCAAGAGCAGGTGCCGTCGCTATCATTGTAGGTCGAATGTAAATGAATGATCCTGGTTCAGCAATCCATTTCGCTGCTTCAACGCCGACGAATTTCTTCAACAGCTTGACAAACTCCTCTGGTGGGAAGCTAGGCAACGAAATTCGCGCCGCTGATTGCAAGAATCGCTTTGCATTGCGGTCGGCCCTGAAGAGCCGGACCTTGCCATCAACACCTCTGTATGCTTTCATCCCTTCAAAGCACTCGGTGGCATAATGCAGGACTGAGGCAGTGGGCATGATGGAGAGGGGCCCATAGGGTCGAATCTCAGGGGCTTCCCAGCCAGCTTTCTCCGTCCAGCGAGCAGTGAGCATGTGGTCTGTCGTGCAGCTTTGCGACCAGACTTCTGGTGAGTTGGCGGCAGGCACATTCTTGGGGTTCAAGTTGCGGGTAATGGTCAACTTTGAGGCATCGAGCTCTGCAACTGGAAGACCATTCGAAGCAGGCTTCTCGAGTATTGCGGCCGTGCCAGCCTTGGCCAGTTTCGACGTATTGTCCAGGGTCGGCGAAGGTGGGGAGAGATGCGAAACAGCAGCTGGAGGAGCCATGGCGACCGGTTCGGTAATTGAAAAAGCCTTGGTGAGTCAAGAGCAAGTAAACTATTACGCCCCCCCAGATTAGAAAGACGAGCAGCCTGCAAAGAAGTCAAGGATGGAAAGAGGGAAAGAGCCAAAGAAACTGTGAGGAGCAATTCCGTGACTCATATATTGCTCGGCAGGGGCGGACACGACGACTTGAAAAATGCAGTTCAACAGACAATAGATAGGTACGCAGTATTCGGGTGGGTTCTCGCAGGGTTTGGGTAGGGGAACGAGGCTTGTACCCCGAGGATGCAACATTCCAGAGAGCCGTTTGGTTGTTGGACTGCCAATCCCCAATCCTTGACGATCGCGACTTACCACTTTCAACGCTAAAGCTGTACGCCTTTGAAAGTACAAGGTCATATCAGGGCGTCCGATATCGTTGCGAAGGACGACCGCATGGGGCAGATATTGGCGATCACATGGCGGTTGAAGCAGATTTTCAGACGAGAATTCTCCGCCAGCATGATGGTTATGGGGGTTGCCACAGGTAGCAACACCATGAATCTCTTCCTTCACCACGAGATTGGTGGGAACGTTCCCCAACTGAGAGAAAACAAGGCTCCGCCGAAAAATTCCCGCTTCAGTTCCGAGATCCGGATTGAGCTCATTCGACCGAATATGGCGCGGGTATTCGCGGATATCGAAGACCTCAGAAAACGAGGGCGAAACGAGGGCGAAACGCGGGCCGTGCATTGGTACCTCATCCTCAGGACTAGGTCAGCTGCTGCAACTATGACCTCACTCCAGACCGATATAATATCATAACGACGCGCACCTGAGTGTCAACCCGGGGACCGGGGACCGTCCACGTGCTGCAACCCCCGCTGGTCTGGTCAAGACAGTGAGACGTCTCCACTGTCTTTCACAATGCTGCAAGCTCCTCGATGGACTGCATGAGGCCCTTGAATAGCTTGTTCTTTTGCACATTGTATTGCTGCAATTGACTGTTAACCCGAAATAGACCGTGAGAAGAGGAGGGAGGCCACATACTTGCTGCATGTCGGTGGCCGCCTTTTTAGTTCTGTTCGAGATTTGGCCCATGGTCTCTTCAAAGCCTGTCAGATCCTGCCCCAGTGCTGTATGGCGATGATAGACCCCGTCATGGATCTTTTGAGCGGAGTCGATGGTTTTCTCAAGCCTTTCACGCTGGCCTGGCTTCAGGGCTCCATTTTGAAGCTGAGCAACTTGGATCGACTGCTTACCGAGGGCCTCCACGGCCAGTCCTAGCAGATCGAATTGGATATCTTCCCATTCGTTCCATAGTATGCACAAGACGTCCTCTTTCTCTTCCCGCAACGCACGAAACTTGGAAATGCGGTCTTTGAGCAGGACTTCGTCGTTAGGGGCCTGGTCGGTATCCGTGGCGAGTGGGATCTTGGTCAATGCCTCTGCCACAAACGGTCTTTGCAAATGCTCCTCGATCTCGGCCAGAGTGCGAAACCGTGTTTCAACGTCGACGGTGAGTTCCTCAAGGCCACCAACCAAATTTCTCTCAACCTCGTCCAGCTTGTGTTTGCTTTCGCTTTCCACATTCTCTCGGTACTGATCGAGACTTCCTGCCGTTCATCAGCACTGTTCAGTTTATGGAAAGGTCTGCTACCTGCAAACTTGTCCGCTAGGATTGAGCTTGGATCGAGATGGTCGTTACTTTCTCTGGTCTTTGAGATTCGAAGGTAGTCGGGCTGGTCTAAACAGCGAGCTCTTCGAGGCTTTGTCACCTTTGGTGGGGGAACTGGCTGGCGATCGAGTCGAGTTCTAGCAGCTGCATCACGAGGGCGAAGGAAGATCGAACGGACGGAGGCGGGATGAGCAGGATGAGATTTGCTGTTGGCAGGCTCCATGTTGCCGCATCAGTGTGTGATGAGAGGCGCCTCACGAACTCGATGTGAGTCGAAAGTGAGTTGGGTTGGAGATGTACGAGCGACGGACACTGTAGCTTTCCTCACTTTCTCGTCCTTTTTGAGCGTCTTGACGACTCTTGTCCTATTGATGGGAAGGGAAGAGTATTCGATGCGTTCGTGTTTCCTGCCCGTTCTCTCTTTTGGCGATTATTGACTAGTTTAGTCCTCAGGGCTTGGGCCTTTTTTTTGGTTTAAATTATTATCCTCATGTTGTCAGATGCCTAACAGCAATCATCTGCACCCTCCATTGCCTCAAATATGACCGACTTCTCGAACAGGGAGTTTCGTGTTCGTCTTTCAGGCTTACATTTCCTGGGGCCTCAGGCTCACCGGAAATGACACATCCTGGGAAACTGGCAGCACCGCCTCAGGGACTACGTCCTCCTGGTGTGCTTGCTTGCATGGGAAGGGGCAGCACATTGTGGCGCCCAATTGCCACCGTCAAAGCTGCCGGCAACATCCTTGAAGTTGGCAGCGATCGAGATGGGACAGTGCAGATGGGATGTTGCCCTGCGTCATCAGGGTCCCTGACCGAACAGATCCTGTGGCTGCTTGCAAGGTTTGTGATTGGCGGGAGAAAGTGATCTCTCAAGAGGCTTCCATTTCGATAGCCAAACCTGTTTCCTCCTCGCTCCCTTGATCTCTTTGTGGAAACCCAAGAGCCATGATTTCCCCCCCGCGGGGAGGGGATGCCCCAAATGATGACGTCGCTGACATGTTGAGGGAAGAAGCAGGCGCATCACACATTCCACAAGGTATTGATAAACAGACATGTCGGCTCTGTTTGAACCCTGTTTCCACTCTCACTCCGTACCACGCTCAGAGACACTCTACTAAGATACCAAAATACGGTTGACATCACAATACAAAACAAATATCAAAATGGTTCTGGGAAGAAGGACCAAGCACCACCCCGGTGGCACAACAGTCACCACCACCACTACAACCACTCACCACCCGCCTGATGAACTAAATGCCAGCGGCGCTCGTGCGGTGCGCACCAAACCCACTCTCAAGCAGCGCCTGTTGGGTGGAAGACGCACCAGGGCCACTGCCGCCACACCCACACGAAGACGTCGGGTCGGCATGCGTCGTCGCACACCAGCAACAACCACTCTCACTCCGCGCCGTAAAGCCAGCCTCGGCGACAAAATCTCTGGCGCGATGCTGAAGTTGAAAGGGACTCTTACGCGGAGGCCTGGGCAAAAGGCTGCAGGGACCAGACGAATGCACGGGACAGATGGGAGGGGCACCCGTCGATACTACTAATGACCCTGATGGAGCAGGGCAACAAGAGCAGCAGAGTCTTCGATCCAAGCCTCGACTGCTGGGCAGAGTTTGGTCAGAGTCTCTCCTATCCGCTTGGAGGAACAGAGAGAGGTTGACGAATTTAGCCCCATTGTTTGGAGCGGGCATTACGCGAAATGAAATGGAAGGAAGCACATTACCACACAGGGCTGCATGATGATTCAGCGTCACCGGCTTCAGATGTGTGAATATTACGAGACTGAGATACCACATTTTAGCGAAAATTGTAAATTCCTCGATCAAGACGAAAAGGAGAAAAATTGCTATCATTGCTTTTCATCACTACTCTTTCGCCTCACGCCATATAAAAAAATGCCTTCTCTCTGATCTGCTTCCTTCCCGTCATACTCGACACATTCAACGTGAAACTTTCTCATCATGTCACGAATGAAGCGCATGTCTGCTTTCCGTCTCTTCTTGAAGCAGAAGTAACACGTCGTTTCAGGACCGATGAGATCGCTTAATGTCTGTAGTAAGAGGGGGAAAGCAGGTTCAAAGTAAACGCAGTCCGCGGCGAGGACGATGTCCGGATGTTGTGCCCCACCAGGAGACAGAATGGATGACGGAGGTGAAGTGCCCCAGTCGTATATCTCTGCAACTACCTTGTCTTCCAGTCTGTTCAGCGCAATATTCTTCCCCATCAGCGCAAGCATGGGCATCTGATCCGTAATGAAAATCTTTTGCTCCTTGTCGATTTCGCAACCAAGCGCAACGGCCAGGCCCACCAGTCCACCGCCTGCGCCAATCTCCACGACGGACTTCCCTCGTAGTGAGCTGGTCCGGTGGTATCTGAGCATGTACTTTGCCAGGACCATGCCGGCGGGCCAGAGTTGGCCTCCACATCCTTCTTGAAGATCTTCGTGGAGGACGAGAGGGGTGTTCGGGGGGAGGAGATTGTCGAAGGTGAGACTGGTTGTTCCGGGCTTTTTGTTGTCGCGCTCGGGGACGAGGGTGGTAGAGATGGCAAAGACGTCGTTCTCTGGAGAGGGAGGGCGAGAAGCTGGCATTTTCGCTTGCGCTACGGTTGTAAACCTGCAAGGTTTGATCGGGTTCCCGAGATTTTCATTAGTCGTTCGCTATGGGATGTGATCGGGGACAAGAATACCAAGTATTTCAGTACTAGCCTCACACTCGGTGCATGCCTTCGTGGTTGCTGTGAATCGAATGGACGACTCTGAAGCACGAATCTGTCGAGGCTCTTCCGTAAGGCTACTGATAGCCCCGATATCAGGCACACCGAGATGATTGGATGGCATCTTAGCGGACAGATAATCCGGGGTAAAACACGCTTAGCGCTGCTGTTCCTACCTTAGAAGCCTCTTTCTTCTGAATCTGGAAGCTATAAGAAGGGTTTTCACCCGTTTGCAGGACTCAGCAGCGGAACTGAGTTATTCCCAGGGCGAGTAGCTTCTTGTAACAAAGGGGCCGATGGCCAGGCCGACGATTGGAAGGCGAGGCAATGCCAGGGCTACAGGACCAACGTCAGGTGTTCCACGTTCGCCTTTTGATCCTCGGCACTGACATCATCGTGCAAATATGGGAACACTGCTGTCATTACAACGTATAGACCACAGTTCGGTGGCTGTAGAGGTCCACAGTGGATGGTAATATTGCATTTTGACTCGTCATTACCTTGCAGTTTTACTCCATGTGTCGTCATTGTTTTGCGCCATAAGGAAAGCTCTATTCCCGGTGGCTTTGGCGCCAGAGTTGGTGGTGTCAAGTCCGTAATGTCACTTGGTCCTCTCGCTCCTCCCTGCACGTCACCGGCTCTTCAATATAAGCTTGACTCAAGCTCGACTTCACTCCATCTGTCTTCTTCCTCCATCCAGTCTCTCAGAGCACATCCATCAACTCCCATCTTCGCACCACCACGACACACAGACCAGACCTTCTCAATCTCTGTCAACAGACAAAACACATCACAATGGCAACTCTGCATTGTACGTCCTCAATGCCGCGTCCCTCGATGAGTTTTCTCTACGTCACTTGTTAGGGCTCAAAAGCAGACCTCACACCATCACCCAAATCACCCCTCAATTAGTCCAGCTGCACGTTGCTAACTTTCCCGCTGTCCTCCAGATCTCCCACCGGTCAAACCCTCTGCGATTGCCCTCGGCATTGTCTTCAACCAAGCTGCCTCCGCCGCCGTGTTGGCACCTCTATTTGGTGACACCTACCATCGCGCCCGGGCTGCCGACAGCAAGGAAGAATTCTTCAAGTCTAAGGAGACTGCGACCGCCGCAGCCAGCTGGGGTTCGTCCATCGTTGGATCCGCCGTTCAAACGTATGGTGTCGCTGCCCTTATCAATGCGACGGGCACATTGTCGTACAAAGGAGCTGCATATCTCGGTGGTCTGATCTTCATGGCCTCCTACAGCCCCTCGGTAGGTCCAGACCCGCACAATTAGTGACCGAAAGCTAACCAAATCTCCCCGTAGCTCGTCTCCCAAGTCGTCACCGAGAACCGGCCTCTGGACACCGTCGCCGTAGGCGTTTTGACTCGCCTGTTCGAGACTGTCGGCCTGAGCATGTTCCTCACATACTGGGGAACCCGAACTAACCCATTTGAATAAGTCAATTACCGCAACTTGGGTGGGGGAAATGGAGGGCGGGGAGGGACGATGGCTGTGTAAGGTAGACGAAGGATGAATGCGATGGAGCAGATCACAGGCACATAGTCAAGGTCAAGCATGCCAATCAGAAATGGGAGTTCGGAAAAGGGAGGGCAGCTGAACCCATCAGTGTATCCATAAAAATCAATCTTCATTACACGGAGTGTTACACTCTGGCGACTCTGAAAGGTAATCATCATGATCAAGCTGCCCAATTCTCGCCTGTAGTATCCTTCATGTTCCACCTCTCCGGTTTTCGCTTGTGGTAATGTTCGTGTTCCAAGCAGTCCAGTTCTCGCTTTTTCCAGCGTCATGTCCAAGCCGTACAGTTTGTATTTTTCTTTCTTTCCTTTTTGCTCGGGATATCACAAGTTTCGATATGTACACAGTTTTTCGTTCTTCCGCGTGCCAACCCCCCAAAATGCCAACGTGTGACCGTAATCACCTAGGCATCCTCGCCAGCCTCTTTGTCCACTGCAGCTTCGAGCGCTCCCAAGACATCTATTTCCTCGCCTTCGTGTTGTTTCTTGTTGGCCTCCTGCTCAATGACTGGGGCAGAGGGCGGGGCAGAGGGCGGGACAGAGGGCGGGACAGCATTGGCATCCGTATCCGCGTCAACTCCAGTTTCAAGATCGGGGTCCACGGCACCAAGCGAAACACCAGCAGCAGCAACGGCGGGAACAACGGCTTCCTCTTCTTCTTTCTTGTCCTTTTCTTCTTCAGGAGCGCCGCCTGCCTCAGCCGTGGCAGCGTCCTGCACTGCTTTAGAGAGGATGAATTCTTGCGCGGCAGCATCAGCAGGAGCTGTAGCAGGCGCCGCGGCGGCGGCGACGACGACGGAGGCGATCTCCCCTTCCTCACTTCCTTCTCCATCGCTCTCCGACCCAGAGCCTTCCGCGTACGCCTGGGTACTAGCCTCGCCTTCGATAAGAGCAGGCGTCGTTCCGTCTGCATTTTCTGCGCCTTCACCGGCTGTCTCGGGTGTGTTTCTCATGGTCACGTCTCCATCGACGGTGCTTGCGGCGGCGGCGTCATCGGCGGCAGCATTCTCAAACACGGTGGTAGTAGCGGCAGATGCAGTAGCGGCGGCAGAGGGCTCGGGATTCGGGTTCTTAGGCTTCCTCCCAGGGCCACCGATCTTCTTCTTCTTACGCCTCGGAGGCATATTCTTTCGGACGGGCGTAGCTGTGCCGTCTGGTTGTGCAGTGTGTGCGCCGGGTCCAGACCCTGGAGCGAGAATGCCAGCAGCATTTCCGAGTCCGCTACCATCTCCAAGGTCGTATCCCGTAGTCCGACCTGTCATTACGGCGACAACCATGTCTCCGGCAGTCATGTCTCCCAACGTCCCAAATCCGTTCGTGGCTTTGTATGCGCCTTTGTAGAGACTCTCCATTCCAGGACGGCGGTCGGCAAGGTATTTCGGTTCTGGCATCTTTTCCGCCACGGCAGCAGGAATCTGGACCCACTTCTTAATTTCAAAGACTCGTTCGTTTGAGCCATGGGTTGCCTTGCGGCGTTTTGGATCAGGTCCTAGACCGTCGACGTCCATGAGATCGTCGTTGTCTTCTTCGTTCTTGTCTTCTTCGTCGTCAACGTTGATCGCGTCGACATTGCTGGTGTGAGTGTGTTTGGACTTGCTCAGTTGAGCCTTTCTTGCTGCCTCGCGCCGCTCGAGTTCGATACCGGGAATGTAGCTTTCGGTCTTCGGATCCCAGACCGACAGCTTTGCGTTGGTATTGCCCATGCGCGCGCGACGAACCATTTCCTGAAACAAGATTCAATCAGCAAAGCACTAACTTCGTAAAAACAAAGGGCTGAGGTATACCTGATTATGTGGTGGAAGTAGCGGCCAGTAGGATGGGAGAGGGTGCTCAGTCCAAGGAAAGTTGCCGTCATTGTTCTCGGTTGATTGATCGTTTCCATCCGCTTGGTCAGCGGGGGCGTCTTGGCTGATTTTGACAGATACTCGCTCCCATCGCCGCACTGGCAAGCCTTCGGTCACGTCGAAATCGGGTAAGCCAGCACGATTGCGTGGCGTTGGGTTGTGTTCTTGGTTTCTCGTTGAACGAGAAGATCGGAGCTGTTGAGGTGGCAAATTAATCACCGGTTGAGGGGAGGAGACAGGGGGCAAGGGCAAGAGAGGAGGATATAAAGAGGGTGCCAAAGACACCAGAGAAGGGGCACGGAAGACAGGAGGGACAGGGTGGGTGGCGGCGGTGATACCAACTACATCAACATCGTCCTCCTGCGAGGCACGAGCGACCGCCAGTCAGGCTGAGATGGCTGAGCCCCCAGTGTTTGTAGACTTGGGAGGCTCTGACAAGGCGGGCATCGCAACGGGTATACACCCAGGCACCAGAAGGAGCGGCAGCCATGGTGGTCGATGGCACGGTGGTTGGAGAGGACGGTGGTTGAGGGAGAAAGATAGAAGGAACAGGAATATTGTGAATAGTGGGGTCCGGGCAGTAAAGTCATGTGCTTGACTCTGTTGACGTGCGTCTCGTTCCCATCTCGTCGCGAAACCAAGAAAAAACAACTTACCGGTGCCATGATGGCGCGGACACTCCCTTTATCTTCAAAAGAGGACACTTCAATGGAAGGCGACCTCGTCGCTGCTGACAGGTCAGTATGTGCTGTGATACGGACATGCGCACATTGCGCAACACCAGACTGACCTTCGACAGAGAGATATAGTTGTTGGGAGAGTTTAGGAAGAAGGCTGAGGTGCATCAGAGGTTTATCTAAAAGCGACATTGCCAAGCGAGTAGAGACACGCTAGAACATGGTGAGGACGACTAGCGGCGGGAGTACCCGAGGCTAATACAACGGAAAAACAATATCGCCGGATGGAAGACGATGAAGTGAGGGTATAGCGAGCATAGGGGAACCTAGTTAAGAGGAGAGAGAGCAACGGTGAATACACGGAAGCACGGTCTTATGACTAGAAGAGGAAGAGAGGCACGATACTTAAGGGCAAGCCAGAAGGAAACCTGTTCATGAGGGTAGAGATTGGTACGTTTATTGGTATCACACGGGACGATCAATCCCTGACAAGAGGGAGATCAGTCCATCTAAAGCAGAGTACATGGAACCAGCAGAGAAAGGTGGGATTCATCGAATGTCAGTCCCATCTGGCGAAGGTCAGCGTTATGAAAGACACGAGGTCGAGCAAACAAGAACATACCCAGTGTCTTTCTGTCGTACGATTCCACCATGGTCGCGAGTTTCCTTTCCCTGAATTACGAGTTAGAAGGGGCTTGGACAAGAGAAACAGAGAGCACATACCGTCTTTCCGCCTTCTACCACAAGTCTGTCCAGCTGGTAGAATTGTGATATTACAGTTTGCCTCTGTCAAATAAGGTCAGTTTTCTTTTCCATCAATAACAGATTACCCAAATCGGTCCCTGATTCCAGAGGAGTTCCGTAACATATTCACAAGAATGCCCTTTGATGCTTCAAAACAAGCAAGGAGGAAAAAAAAAAACTCCTACAAGAAAGCAGAGACTGGACTCACTTTCATCATCTGCAACTCCTTCAACCCTTTCTGTACCAACTCCTGTATCCGTCTGGGATCCGTCTCGTGCTGATGTTCGTGGAATGCATCTCTCGTCCTCCTCCTCGCGTACATTCTGAAATTGTAGTTTGCAAACTTGTTCCCTTCGCGCAACAGGGACCGGTACAGAGACCGTACGCTGAACGCTGAGGTGTCGGCTGCGGTGGCCAGGGCGGAAGACGCCATGGGGGATCAAATTTGGGCGAGCTCGAAGGGGTGCCTGATGAAAAAAAAATGCGCGGCCTGGTGCGCGACAGAGAGAGGGTGCTCGATCGAGGACTGGGCTTTCAAATAGCTCCTGGCAATCTGAGAGTCGTGGGCACGCGGAAGCAGAAGAATTTCGACGCCTCCCAGAGTGGGTTAGATTTTTGCGGAGTTGCTCAAGGCGCAGATTCCTTTCACAGCGGCGGTAGAAAAGCTTCGCTGCGTACAGGAGTACCGCGAGGGTTGCCGGAGTATCTTAGAGGATGGATATGACTGCGCCGAAGACGGGGACTGCTTGGAAGGGTAGGCGCATTTATAGGGTAATATTCCTGCAAACTACTCCCGACCTGCGCGTCCCGCGGCGGATTGCGTCAATGCTCGGCTTAGGATCTCCGAAACGACCGAGAGCTCGTTCTGCGAGGCTGCTGCCACCCTTCGAGGACTACATTCCACGGGTCCTAAATCCATTTTGCATGCCAATAGACAGATCCCTTTCGGAAGACACATATATAAGACAAATATGCCGTCCCATCTCCCCTCTCCGCCGTCCTCGCGTTCCAACTCCCCCAACAGCAGCTCCAGCACCAGTCAACCCGAACCTGTCGAAGCAGAAAGTCAGGATCGCAAGACGCAGGATGATGAACCCCAGCATCAACCCAAGGAAGAAGAAGGACCGTCCAAGGAAGTCCTCTCAGACCGCCTCGACGCGCTTCTGATGTCCTATCTGACCATTCTAGACACCTACACCAGTCTTCGCGCCCAACTTTCCAAGGACCTCTCGGCGGGATTCTTCTCGCTGGCGCAAGCGAATCGGAATGCGAATTCTACCTTGGGAGTGGGGAGGAGGTATGGTGAGGAAGGGTTCGATGAGAGGATGAAGGCTGGTAGGGTGGTAAGGATCAAAGCGGAGGCGGAAAAAGGAGGGCTGGGTGAGAGCTGCGCGAATGAGGATGAGAAGGATGACTATGCCGGCAGCGAAATAAAGAATGGAAGCAAGACTCTGGAGGAAACCATGACATCGCAAAGGAATGAGAAAGATACGGAAACCACCACCTCTCCTTACCGCGTCTCAGTCTCCCCCCCGTCGTCGCCGCACACATCCAAAGACCCGCTGAAATGGTACGGCATCCTTATCCCACCATCCCTCCGCACATGTCAAATCCACTTTGCCAGAGCCATATCCTCCACCGTCCCCGACGTGATGAACACTTCATCTGCAATGCGGGATCTGGAAGAGGAGATATGGGCCGTTCGACGCCAGTTAGGGATCATTCGCGACGACGACAACACTGTCAGTGCCGATGAGTTTGATAAAAGCAAGAATGATGGCGCCGTTGAAACAGACACGAGCTCGTCCAAGACAGAGGGAGACCAAGGTCCGGAGATTTCTCTGCCAACAAACACTCTATCGTCTTCTAGGCCTCAAATGTCGCAGGCAAAGAAATCCTCCTCGTTATCGTCCACTTCTCCTCCGACAATGGCGCCATATGAGCCGCGATCCAGGATTTTAAAGCTTGACTGATCACGTCTTGCTACGCCGATCTTTTGACGCCAAAAAGTGACCCGGGAAAGGCGTTTGGGTCAGGTCGAGCAAGGCTAAGACGTCAAAGGCCAACCCTAGGTTTCTACGGAGCCGTTTGTGCTGCCAGTAGCCAGCGAATTATGGGCGAAGAGCAAAAGATTGCAGGGCTGGACATCGGCATATTCCGATAATACCACTACGGGCTAATATACCCACTTGATCCCAATAGCTGGCCCAAGAAACCCCCAATCAGCACGATTCGCAACAAGTTCACCAGATCAGTAGTAAGGGGTAATATTACTCAACTCCTGGTTTTCCATCGAGGCGTCCTCCTCCAAGACAGTCGGCCCCTCTGCCACTCTCGAGACGCCTTCGAGCTCTTCCTTGGTTAACAGTGCCTGGTTCTCTTTGTCGGTGTCATCCGTGTGGAATTCTACCTCGGCTCGCTGTGATCTCACGTCGTCCTTTTTGATCGGCGAGGAGACCACATGCCTTGCTGCGGGACTGCGCATCACCTCCTCTAGATCCCCGTCCCAGTAACTGGGTCGTCGTTTCTTTCTGCTTACCGAAGGTCCAGTGCCCTTTCTCCAGACCATGACATTAGGACTCAGTTCCTTCACTCCTCTTCCGGTGTCACAGCTGGCTCTTGGAGCTGAAGTACCGAACAGGCTCATACGGACCGCTGCCCTGGTCTCCTCGTCAACTTCAATGACTTCTTCTCCCTCTTCTAGCTTCAGTTTTGGATCAATCGATTCCTTTGCCATTTCATCGTCCTCGAGGATGTCGTTGGTAGGCGTTTCTGCCTCCCTTGACCTCTTTTTAACTTGAGAGCTTTGTGCGGATTCCACAGAGGATCTTGGAGGACTACTTCTGAATTGAAGATTGACCGGCAACCGCGACCTCGCAGGCTGCATGCAACGCTGAGGAGGCCTCGACAGATATGAAGGACCACCATAGTGTTTACCGACTCCACGAGCACTGGCAAGAGCAACGATGCCATTCTTTCTGAACCTACTGGGTGGCTTTGCCAACGGTGTGAGAGTGTCTGTTCTATACGAGTCTCGAATCCTAGAATCAGGAGCAGGGTCCTGTCCAACGACTTTGGCAGCTGCTGTAGAGAAAGAGTACATTGGTGGACCGGGCCTTGGTGATGGTTGGGGGCTCTCTCTCGCATAATACCAACCAGGTTGGAAATGCTCCGATGCCGGGGTAAGATGTGTGCGACCCAGATGTTCATGGTGACGGAGTCGAGATCGAGACTGGGAAGGTTCAGTCAAAGGGTCCCACGAACAGTGGTCCATTTCTCCTGGAGAGATTGGTGGCGGTCTGGCTTTCAACAACGGCATCGGACTACCTGTCGCTGGAGCGCGGTTGAAAGTCATTGGCGGGAAACCAAGCCTGGCGGGGAATCCATGCTTGTGTGTGTGGCTCCCTTGCACATTGGAACTTGACATGGCACCACGATGTCCTGGTACATTGGGAGGCCCTGATCTGAAATGAGCTGCTGGATCAGGGCATAATACTGTCGGCCCACGTGAATGCAAATGTGGATCCGGACAAGGTTTGATGTCGGCATGCTGTGAGTTTTTGGAAGAAGATGCGGAGCCATCACTGCCTTTGTGCGTCGGAGCTTTGGGGAAAAGGTCGCTGAACATTCCCCGCTTCAGCTTTGCTGAATCAGCCGCTGCTTTCACAGTGGCAGACAGAACAATTCTCTCCTCTGAACTCGATGACGAATCTCTGTACTGTCCTCCCACCTCTGCCGACTTTCGTAGGAGGTGGCTCACAATGGGTGACTCTTCTGCAGAATCGATATCCATGTCATAATCAGCACTCATGCGCAGCTTGGTTAATGGCCGCTCCAAATCAGTGGTGGACATAGGGCTAACGGGAGAAGGCTTGTCATATTGTTGGGTTGAATTTCTTGAGAACTTTGGCGCAGGAGGTGAAGACAGGATCGGTGTATCAGCCGAATGTGGAGCGAAGTCTCCTTCATCAACAGGCGAAGTAAACCCGCTGCTGGGTGGCTCAACAACCGAGACTTTGCAATGGTCCATTTCCGCTGGGAGTAAATCCGGAAGCCGTGGAGACCCCTCAGGAAAAGGTTCTCTTACGTCCATCTCAATCTCGGCAATGGATCTCGGGGCCCTGGAGTACCTCCAATCCTTGGAGGGTGTTTCCGAAGCTGGTTTCTTGGAGTCTCCCGTCAGATCAGGATTGGTACCGCGGTTATGGCCGTCTTCGTGACTTGCAGGCAATCTAGAATCGATCGAACCAACCGGGGATGCAGCGAACCGGACATCCAGGCGCAACGAAGCTTTTGCGTTTTGGAACAATTTTTGCATTTGTGCAACGTGACCAGGCATGACGGTCGATCTCGTTAAGGCCGGGTGTATCCTTTTACGACCCGTGTTAGGCAATGTTGTGTCAGTCTGGGGCTTTTGATGACCGCCGCGGTCTATGCTATTTCCCTCGGGGGTCTTCGAAGAAAGAGACGGGTGTAAGACTTTGGAAAAGAATAAGGAGGACCGCCGCCGAGGAGGTTCAATCGGTGCTGCAGAGATGCATACTGATCAGTACTGCACAGGACCACGTTTACATCCAAACGCGGTGAAATAGCCACAGATGTTACTCACGCTTTGGCGTCCCTGGAGGATAACCCGAATGTGCAGATTTGCCGGAAGAGTTGCTGGATGGCAAGGAGCCAGGTGAATGATCCATACCGGGGAAGCTGTTCACGGGAAAGAGATGCAGTATCACTCAAACTTGATTCGAACTCAAAAGGAGTAGCCAAAGTCAAAGAGCGGACATCTGCAGCCAAAGGCAGACAAACGAGGAGAGAAGAGGTACGGATGAAGGTCACAGAAACAGCGCAGGCAGATGTCGACAGCTCGGTCCATGACACAGGCTGGAAGGGAAGGTCCAACGCTGAAAAGCTGGTAGCTGGATGTCTTTGGCAACCGGCATGCTTTATTGACGCGAAGAGCAGTTGCAGTCAACATGATGGTTAAGTTGAAAGATGTGAGGCTGATATTGCGAAGACCGAGTTCTGGATGGTATAAAGCAAGGCTCGACCGAAGTTGAATTGAAGTTAATCCTAGGACTGGCGTCGACGGGCTGATGTGCGCCATCGTTGACAGCAATCAATCAATGGCAACGAGACTGTCGAGTCAAGCATCAAGCCAAGTGGCACACACAAAGGTGATTGCAGCACAGATTGACACGAGGCAGCACAAGCGGGCATAGTTGCAGGGCGTCTTTTGTAACACATAGCGGCTGTAGCCATATCCTGAGTGATGGTCGCTGGAACCTGTGGTCAGCCTCATTAGCCGAGTGGGAAGCCATCTTTGGCATTTTCTGATTGCACAAGAACAAGCGATTATCCGCTCGAGGTATTGGGTAGACATGCAGCCAACTCGATATGGTCTCCAAGTTTAGGCTCGCGGTGCATACCAGTACTCGCAGTAACGACAGCGGCCTGGTCAGGTCTCCGGACGAGATATCTGAACAACTCCCTTTCCGCAACATGATAGCGCTTGACGTGACGTGACGTGATGTAATAGCGAATCTGGTGCAATCAAGAACCGGGAATCGACCGGCATAGAATACGAGTAAGATGAACTGCTCAGAATAGATCCGTGAACAGCGGCAGGGTGTGGATTTGAGACGAGCGCAATGGAGATTGAGTTGATCTTGATCAAGTGGTGTTTGGTGGAGACCAAATGGCGCCAGAACGGGGCCGAACCCATTTCGACGGAGGCAGAGATACGAAGGAAACAAATGAATGGTCCATATGGAGTGTGCGAGTGTCTCGAAAATAGTGTGTGAGGATGGGCAGGGAATGGGCTTTGCGGATATTAATTGGAGGGTGATACTCCATTCGGGTAGTGATTGCAGCCTTGTCGTACCTCGTACGTAGCCTTACGATCCCTTGAACCACGCAACCCACACGCAATACAGTAGACACCAGGGCACTAAATATGAGCCGAGTCGACGGACCACGCGTCTGACTCGCCGACTCGAGGCTTGTTCGGACTTGAGACTTGGACTCGCTCCGCATTGTCCTTGCATCGAGCAACAATGGAACCTTCACAAAAACTCAATGGCCATGGTCGTGCCATCGGGTTAAGCACCATCACGGCCCTTGCTTCTTTCAGCCATGACTCCTCGCATCTGTCGTCGAGGCCTCCTAGGCCTGGCCGTCAGGTCTGAAGGTCTGACCACTCTGGGGTGCACAGAAGGATGGAAGGGGGAAAACGGGGTCAGTGCTCTCGCGGAGCCTTACCAGCATCACAAGTTGTTACAGAAAGGACAGCACCCTGTCAGACAATGGAAACAGATTCTGGAATGGATTCCCTGATTCGTTGCTGTAACGGTTGAAATCACAGCAAGGATTCTGAAATTGTTCCCAGGCACCGCATCTACTCAGAAATCCGCAATCAGCACAGGGGGCAGCTCGCATGGACGGCAGGCTGGTTGTTTCAGGACTGCAGCTGGTCCATGTCTAGCCGAGTTTTCATGGTGGAGCCACGGCGACCAAGGCTAATGAGTCTGCAGGCGAGCGTGTTTAGGCAGCTTTAGGCATCCCTCCAAGGCCAATGGGGTGCCTGTACCTGGACCCCTAGGCAGGCTATGGCCCCAACCAGAATAGCCCCAGCATCTGTAGGGCCCACTCAAGCCCCTCGCCGGCTGCAAGATACCGAAGCCAGGTCCTATTCGCTGCCCGTTAGCCAGGTACCTGCCTGCATCACCTGCGCAGCCTCAAACCTCCTGACACGGCTGCTATCTCACTACTCGTTCTGTTGTTACACCCTCCAAACCCTCTCCCACGTTCGTTTCCATTCATTCGCTCGCCGTCCTGTGGTCGTGCTTTCCGCTCCTTCTCAATCTCGTCTTCGTCCTCTCTCAACTCGCCTTGTGCTTGTTCGGCCTGATTCGCTGAATGTTGGTCAATTCTTCGCCTCGTTAGATACCCAGACTGCTTTTTTTTTTTTCCATTG